ATCTGGGTTGTATCGCCATATCCCGGTTCGGAGTGCATGGATCCCGAATCCAAAACACCATTCGACTCAGTTTGGCGAGGCGCGTCTTTTAATATATAGAAGAGCCTTTGCTGTGGGATACGGTAGGCAGTTAAGTTTACTAGCTCGTAAAATAGCTCAAATGGATTACCCACTGTGCTGACGGTGGCCACATTCTGTTATACTGCAGAGATGTGGTACAACATCTACACCAATTATTCAACAGAACACGCAAAAACTGACGATCCGCTTATTTCGCTTTTCTTCATAACTCCCTTCGGATTGCATAATATATAAATCTCAAAAAAGCATAATGCTCAGCTTGTTAAGGCTAATCTAGTGATATACTACACTATCTTGCTATTCCGTTTCAGTCTGCTCAATTTTTATTTGTAGGGACGAGTATTCGCGGTGGTGTAAACATACACGAAAGACAACGGTAAGTACGATTCGGTAAAGCCGTTCCAGTAGATTACCATGCACTAGCGAGTAGCAGCTTTTTTTCTAGCGGAAAAGAAAGGCCGGTGAAATCTTCGAAATTCCAAGTCTTCTTATTTTTACTTACCGTAACCCTACAGTAAGACGCTAATTTGCAAAGCTGCAGGTCAGATAACCTCTAGGGCACGTCGTCCAAGAAATCCGGGCTCTTTAATTTTCTCTCGTTCCAGGCTTTGAAGCTCACCGGCGGTTTTGGCTAGGATATTGATGATCCTGGATTGACCGGAATCTTCGCTCATGAAGGTTTTCGGACCTGCTGATTACGAAAATAGTGCTATTTGTGCACTGTGAATCCTTTCAGAAGAGGGTTATGCTGAGAGAAAAACGGCAGTACCGCGCAAGTTTCTGAATTTGCCTGCATTTTTCGCGCATCTGTTATAATGTACTACTCCTACTGCTCCTTCTTGTTTACTGAAATCAATAGAGAGAGTGCTATCGGAGCAAACTTGAATGCAGCGTCCAGGCAAATCTGGAACTATGGGGATTTTACGTGGAAAGTAATTTTGGGGCCCTAAGGCACGGGCCAAGCGACAGCGCACATGACTCACTAACGGCTAACAAGGAGAGGATACTCAGTCGAAAGCACCAATCCAGATTAGACATATATCATCTTAAAGCGCTTGAAACGCTCATTCCAAATCTGTAGTTCTTAGCAGCGGAGCGATTTTGTAGAGGGAGTTATGAGGGCTGTTTTCTTTTGGGTTTGAGGCGCCCTCCAGCAGATTTCCCCCTATCTATGAGCACTGTAGAGGATTATGAACTGGTGCAACTAGCTTAGTGATAAGTGACTTGCTTGATAAGGAGAGTGTCAAGGTTTAGTCCCCTTCGCATGCAACTTAATCGCGATTTTTGCAGAGTTGAGCTTCTAGATGGCTTTAGAGCCCTAAAGCCTGAAATAGAAGTGTTAAAAAACCGAACTAATACGACTGTTATAATCCTTACGTAATCCTCATTCAAATTACTTACCACTAGGCCAGTTGCCACCAGTTGGTACTCCTCTACAGTGCTCATAGGTAAGGGGAGACCTGCTGGAGGGTGCCTCAGCCTAAATGGAAACACCCCTCATAACTCCTTCTACAAAACCGCTCCGCTGCTAAAAACTACAGATTTGGAATTAGCGTTTCAAGCGCTTTAAGATGATATATGTCTAAGCTGGATTGGTGCTTTCGACTAAGTATCCTCTCCTTGTAAGATTTACGCCTCCAAACTGAACCCCAAGATCGTATTCGGACGACATGCATCGTGTTTGCCTGCTTTCGCGCGGGGACCCACGCGAAACTGATGTGTCGCTGTCGCCATGAATCCATGTGAATTACGATCGTGGGGTCCAGTTTGGAGGCGAATAAAGGGGTAGAGGACTATATGTCGCCGAAAAAGGGCGGTCCCCGCGGTCATTTGCGACAAATACGCACCCTTGTACATGCGCGGACATGCGTTCCTGCAGGGAATCCGCGCGGGACTCTTCCAAATTCGGCGACATAGGGTGGGGGAACGAAAGCCGCCAGGTCCAGTCGCCTTTCGCGGCCAGCTGGTCCTTTCGCAGCGTTGTTGCATGTCGTTCCAGGACCAGCAGTCCGCAGAGGCGGCTGGACCTGGCGGCTTTCGTTCCCCCACCCGGCGACATATAGTCCTCCACCCGCGAATAAGCTGTTAGAGCACACCAACTGAGCTGCCGATTAGGTAGTGTCTTGGTTAGGGTCGCAAAATTACTGTCCACGTGAGTGAGATCACCGTATGTCCAGATTTGCCTGGAGGCTGCCTTTAAAGGCAGTACATCGGCAGAATGAGACCCGTGACAAAACAAGGTAACAGGGTAGGAGCCCCCATACGGAACCTATGGGCCAAAGTTCGGTCTTTCTCTGCCACTTCTAACCCCATTTCAAAGCGAAAGCAGCGCTCATCTCCTGTCCTCTCCGAACCCGCCCACCCCATGGACGAGTGACTTCCGCGGTCAGAGCGCCAGCCGCAGTGCTATAAGCATGAGGTCCCGCAACGACTCTGCGTCTTCGCCAAGACGGACTTCGCGTTCACTCGTCCATGGGGTGGGCGGGTTCGGAGAGGACAGGAGATGAGCGCTGCTTCCGTGTTAAAATTTCGGGGGTTAAAAGTGGCAGAGAAAGATCGGACTTTGGCCGATAGGCTCCATAAGGGGGCTCCTACCCTGTGACCTTGTTTTGTCACGGGTCTCAGTCTGCCGAGGTACTGCCTTTAAGCCAAGTCCTTACTGTATCAATTGCTGAGCTATGAGATTACGAACAATCAGCACCCTCACTTATCTCTCTGTACCAACTTCCAGCCCCCATAGCTCCAAGTTTGGAAAAAGATTGATATGGACCGAAGTGGCCTACGACACCCGCTTCGCCCCGAAGATGCGTGTAAAGTTTGGTCGCACATTTCTGCATAATGATACTATACATTAACACGAATATGTCTAACTAGCTGGCTTACCCGGCTCCGCCGTATCCGGACCAAACTTGGCACACATACACTTCGGGCCCCGCGGGTGTCACAGTCCACTTTTCGTTATCGATCGATGTCGATTTTACCGATTTTTATCGATTTTTTTGCAGAGTTCACCTACAGGGCTAGGAGTTGGCACAGGGGGGGGGAAGTGAGCATGGGGATTCCGAATACAATATTAGTTTTCAGAATTATCCATTACTTTTATTGATTTTATCGATTTTTTGTAAATTTTGACATGCGAGGCTGGGATTTTGCACAGGGGGGTAATCGAGCATGCTGATTACGAACACAATATTAGTTTTCAGGATCGTCCATTACTTTTATCGATTTTATCGATTTTTTGAAAATTTGAGCTAGGGGGCTGGAATTTGGCACAGGGGTGTAATCGAGCATGCTGATCACTCCCCATGGGGATGATCAGCATGCTCGATTACCCCCCTGTGCCAACTCCCAGCCCCCTAGCTCAAACTTTGCAAAAAAATCGATAAATTCGATAAAAGTAATCGATAATCCCGAAAACCAATATTGTATTCGGAATCCCCATGCTCGATTACCCCCCTGTGCGAACTCCCAGCCCCGTAGCTCAAACTTTGCAAAAAAATCGATAAAATCGATAAAAGTAATGCACGGTTTCGAAAACTAATATTGTATTCGGAATCCCCATGCTCGATTACCCCCCTGTGCAAAATCCCAGTCCCCTAGCTCAAATTTTGCAAAAAATCGATAAAATCGATATCGATCGATAACGAAAAGTAGCCTATGACACGCTCCCTGCCCCGAAGTGTATGTGTGCAAAGTTTGGTCCCGGGCGGAGCCGGGTTTGCCATCTAGTCTATGATAAATTAGAAAAGAGCGAGGTAGATACAGGGCTTTACAACCTGAGTGTCACAGCCGCCCCGCTCGGCCGCCACGCTTAGGGCCGCGCAGCGTTCGTGGCGCAAGCTGCGCGTCGACTGAAGCTTCGCAAAATGCCCGGGCGATGCGCCGCAACGCCGCGCGCGGCCTGAGCGAGGCGGCCGCGTTGGAGGAGCCGCGCAAGCGGAGGCTGTGACTCTTATGTTGAAAAGCCCTGTATGTCCACTGCACAATCTATAATGTTTGTGCTTGAAATGCACAGAAACTTAATATGTCTGACAACAAGTTTTCTTCGAGGAAAAGACAACTAAATGGACAGAGGTGGTCCAATGTGGCTGTCACACCGGTAGAAGTATGCCATGACTGGATAAGCTGACTTCAGACCTGTACTCGAAACCTTGTTTCCGCACCGGTCTCAATCTTATCCGGAAGACTTAGTGATTACATAACCGCTATGTTTGCTTACCGGATTACCTTCAAAAATGGGTTCAAAATCAGTACCAGTTTTCCCTGGATACTTGACAGATTGACAGTTCCATAACTCACTGCCCAACATTAGTTGGAATAATAGGTCCGGGTAAAAGAGAATATCCATCTAAAGTTCTTAGTCTTCCCATGACGTCTAAAACTCATTATTTTCACTTGAGCAAGAAATCCGACAAAAGTTGTGCTTTTAAGAATTCCTCCACTTTGACTTCAGTTTGTCCTATTTGCGCATACCAACGAAGACACCAAACTCATTTCACTCGAATCACCAAACTCATTTCTCCGATTATGAAGGAATACTTAGTAAGAAGCTGCGAAAAAAGCGCGTTTTCCTACAGTATGCATTTCCAAAAATTTTCTATATTTCTGTGACTTCAGAGTTTCTGCCCAGAATAACAAGCAAAACAACCCAGACAATGTCATCGGAAACAGAAACAACAATATTGGTAGCACTCTCATTTCGAAAAAATAAACGTCCTAGCTCTACTGACTAATCTATTTTCCATTAATTTCTTTCTCAGAAATCATCACGCCGAACCGTGACACTGTATGTACCTACAAAAGTCCATTCAAAGACTCTCGTTACATAACATTCGACATTCAAAAACGTCAGATCAAAATGGGCACTTGCTGATCTTGTTTGTACCATCTACTGATGTTTGGTCCAAGCATTGGTGAAGCTATTGTTGATATTTATTGGTCCTATCTGGCTAACAACATCCAACTAAAATAGCCACCATGTTCTTTGCTTCTTTTCCTTGCAGTCGTTTTCGAGATCTTTCAGGTACTTCTGGGCATATTTTTGTATTCGAGGTTCTTCCGTTCTGCTAAGTGACACTGCTTTTTTGGCGTACTCTAGTGCTTCTTTCTGGAATAGAAATTGTTTCGCCGCTTTGCGAATTGAAAATTATTTGCATACCTTCCGACCAACGTGAAAGAGGGCTTCGGCATAATTGCAATAATAACCGGGAATCATATCAGCGCATTCGTTCACATAGAGAATCCGATCAATGCCAATTGACAGATACTTTAAAGCTAATTCAAACCTAAAGATAAGGATATACGCAGATGTACCTATGGCTTAACTGTATGCATACCTATTCTTGAGGATACATACGGCACCAAAGTTGTTGAGCAAGTTGATGGTATGGAACGAACTGGCACCATAGAGCTGATAAGAGATCTTAACGGAGGAGAAAGATAGCTACTACTACACTAACAAGCATGGTGATTTCGAGAAAATTGCTATTATCACAAAAACTAAAAGCGTCAGAAACTAATATCACCTTCATGACTTCATCCATATATTCTTCGGCCTCACGCAATCGCCCCTCGTCTCGATACCTAACCTAAAGTTGATGGCAATATTTGAGAGATACACCAGTGATGTACCAAATGCTATCTAACCAAAAAATGAGCATAGCCCTCCAATGCCATTCCAAACAAAGCTATAGGATCACTATAGATTGGACCTTGAGTATCAGCAACATGTTTGTCTTCTACAAGAGCACCCTGAGCAACGCTGTACTTCTTCATATGTTCGTCAACAACCTGCAATGAACATAAATAGTAGCGATAAAATTCTGAACGCGGAAAAAATTACCAGCATTTGTTTCCGAACACAATGCGTATATCCGACTTCAGCATCAGCTAACTGCCCTTTTTGAGCAAATATATCTGCTAGCTTCAATGATACACCGATGAACTCTGGATCACTATCACGTTTTCCGTGAAGGGTAACTAATCTAAACAAACTTAATCATAACAGTGTGTAACCCACGTATACAAAAACTCACCGATTTACTACAATCTGAAAACATTTCAAAGCATCATCGAGATTACCCATCTCATAGTAGGTGTTTGCGAGCTCATCGTAGACCCTGCAAAACAGATGATATCTAAAATGAGCATACCGAGCTCCATCTCTCAAAATCCATCTCACACATTCCTTTCTATTAAGTCGAAACATATGTCTTGCACAGAAACCTTTGGTAATTTGTAATATATCCTCCGGCGACCATCCACAATGACTCAGGTTAGCCTACCGCAAAGGGTTAGCTAATCCGTGGTCGGTATGGACTACGCTTACGGGTTTAGCCCATAGGCTAACCCCCTGCGTTATGTTGATGAGTACGGCCACAACTCGAATAAGTCAGTTTCATACCGCACTTCAAAAGGGAAAATATTTTCTAGCAATGCTTAGAGCAAGTTATTGTAGTCATATCGGCAGTACCCAGCTGATAAGAACTAGCACTCAAATTGCGACTTTTATGTAATTTTCGGTGAGGAAAAAGGCCATTTACCTTTTATTAGAGAGATGATTTGAAGACATAAAATTTAGTGATATAGATGGTAAAATGACATAAATATTATTTTGATTAGAAAATATTAAACATAGTGAAAGATTCTTAGCATTTTCGAACGAAGTCTAAGGATTTTTCAATGCGAAGTTCATGTCCCCAACTGATGGCAGGTAATAAGTATATCGACTTGGTGCCGCAAAAAAACTTTGTAATGATGATGAGTCAAACCCTAAGATAATTGAACATGAGTACAATTTGACAGTAGAAAATCCAAATCATAGCTAGCCTATGCTAGCAAAAAAAATTGCGGCAAACCTGGAGGAACCATTTAGTAAGAAAATTTTAAGAATATGACATACTAGCATCTTACCGCGTGATTGGAAGCGGCTCTTTTCGCTGTTCAGCTTCTTGCAGCGCCAACTGTAAGACTTCCAGGGCTTCTCGATACTTCCCATACTTGCGATGAAGCCATGACTATAATACAATTGAACTCCAGCTGGGATATGAAACCATCAAAGATACCTGCTTTATCTTTTCTTTTAATGAGTCTTTATCCAGTACTACTGGCTTGATTCCCAGCATGTCCTTCACTGTGACAAGCCAAGAAAGCCCCAAAAGAGGAGCACCAGCTGCGAACCATCGACTAAAAAAATGCTATATAGTCGGTCCGATACATTGAGTTTTTACTAGTGAACCTCCTTGAGTGCCACCTTTGCCACTGATCTGATCTGTTATGATTATGTTCTCTTCTTCGCCAGTTGCGACCTGTAGAAGTGATAGACTGGCTCTGGCTAGAAATGGTTCGGCGAATACTGCTCGCTAACCTCTGATAGAGTCGCGCCCGTAACGACGGGAACATCTCAAAAATCATAATTAAAGCAATATAAAGAAGAGGGCTACATAAGAAAGATAGTTGGAAGAATATGCGAGAAACATCCTAATACTAAGAACAAGGTCAGCGACTAACTGGCCTTATGCCAACCAAAAATAACAGTAAAATTATAAAGCAGTGAGTATTCTAATGATGCTGTCGTAAAATAAAACAGAATAGCCTTGATTATCAGTCCCTTGAATTTTCACTGAAGATGCAACAAAGATGAATTTAAAGAAAGATATTTGCCATACAACGGTATATATTACAAAAACACAAAAGCAGAATCATGATTTATATCCAAAGCACCAAGAGGCCATGTACAAAATATTCTAAAACTCATGCCAAATACTTAAACCTAGACTGGAGAAGATATCTGAAAGCAGATAAAACTACTAAATGTCGTAATAGTAGTTCCTGGATTAGTACCGGTATGAGACAAGTAAACAATAATTACAAGTGTGCAAATGGTCACATAAGATATACACCTATTTTCATCAATCTAATTTTCGCGCCTATCATTAGAAAAAATGAAATCACTATATTGTTCAACTTATACTCTAATTCAATCCATCTTCAAAGCAAAACTCGATCCACATGAACAACCTTTCTCTGCAGCGGGGTTGCTGACCACTCGAAATGAGGCTTTCATTAAATCTTCCACGTAATCTATGGTTGCTCCGCGCATGTACCCCAACGACATCTGAATAAACCGTATCTGCATGACGAATCTCTTTGTAAAACTGACTATATCAATAGGAATAAATCGTCATAATGTTTACAGTAGCACTGACGAACTCATATAAAAAATTTATTAGAAAAGGGAAGGCTTTTTATGTGCTCTCAGCTAATCTTTTGGAAGTTCTCAGATAGCTAAGAAAACATATTTAACCAAAAAATTTCAAAAAATGTAAAGTACATTAAACCAAAAGACTTTCCAACTCATGACCGAGAAGATATAACACAGATATAACACATCTGAGGCAAAAAGAAGACTAAACAAATGGTAAAACGATAAAAGAGTACTTCCGGTAACTTACTTCATCTATGACTATTTCCACATTATCTTGCTTCCATAACCTGTCATCACTTTGTAATTTTTTGTCAAGTTTGATTTTGTATTCGAATCCAGAGCAACCGCCACCATCAACCTCTACTCGTAACCGTTCACCCTCGGCGAGAATCTTCTGCAACGGTACCAGCCAGAAGTATGTAAGATAATAAAATTAGATAGGAGAACGGAAGTATTTACCTTCAATCGCTGCTGCGCTCTTTCCGTAACTTTGATATCTTCAGCTGTTAACGGTTTGATTCCTTCGCAAAAATTTCGAGTTATAATGGGTGCTAACCGACTTACCAAATTTGATGTTCGCCACATCAACGCTGTAAATCGTACATGTACTTGGATCCATAAGAATAATGATAAGACAAAGCAGGAGCGATACCATAATTGAACTTAATGACATACAAAGAAATAAATTTTATTTGAAAGGAAGGCATAATGAATCAGATAAAAAGAAACAAATACAGGGCATAAAGTTATGACTGAAGTAAATCATGACAATCTTGTGCTTGTAGCTGAAGCACACCAAATAAGTTCAGCACTCATACGGCAGCGTATGTATCTATGACAAGCTACGCAGCTTACGTCAAATCACCACGAACGAACTGTTCATAGTGCAGCCAGAAGACTCAAAATGGAGAAAAACAATATTGCCAAAATAGCGCTTTATCAATCAGAGATGGAGGCCGACTAAACAAAAAGAGGCGACAATTAGGCATAAAACTTGCAGGAGTTGGAAATTTTATAACTACCTAATAAAGCGCTACCAACAATGAGATGCGAGAAATGGTCATGTTTTGTGACTAGAGTATTATGCTTGAGACTTATGCCATACAAGATCTGATATATGGTATTGAACGAAACTGTAGAGGCTGCTGTGGAAAGTCAAACCTAGAAGTGATTACATGGAAAACAAAAAAAAAAAATAGGCCTGAGATTAGGATGTACAAAAAAATGGGATAGATCAGAATGGCCTAGTAAAGATAGCAATGATTCAATCGAGAAAAAAGATGAAACTCAAGTCAGAACATTCAGCGCCTGGCAGGTGGAAGTGGAGGCCCAGGACTCGGTTGGTTTAAGCGCCGTCGTTGCCGCTCGAATCTTCTGAAGGAAGAGTAGAAGTCATAGGATAAGGGGTTGGTTCAATCTTACCTTTCCATTTCATCAAGCAGACGAGGAGTGTAGCGAACTACAAGGCGTACTGTACCTTGAGCAGACTTCAGCAAATCCACTGCTCGCTCGTGACATTCGCTTTCAACATTCTGCAAAAATCTTGTGAGAAACATGGTGTTTTAAAGCAAATATCTCATCAGACAGAAGCAAACTTGGCTTAGAAAAAAAACACTAGGAGATATATCACTACTGCACCTTTGCTGCAAAAAAATGAAACACTAGAGAGATGTCACAGATAATCTTATTCAAAAATACAAAGTGATTCGATCAAGGATCGAGATGTTATGTAACCGATTTAAGGGATTTTGTTTCGTACAAAATGGCAACACCCACCACTCCGTTGACGGCAATCAGCTGATCACCGCGTCTCAATCCACCGTGCCGATCTGCTACTCCACCGGGTATAATTCTGGAAGATCGGTTGAATCAATAAGCAAAAAACGTTGAATAAAAAGGAAAAAACAGATTAGAAGCATTGGTTGAATTAAGCAGCATAAACAGCGTTGAATAAAAAGGAGAAGATAGATCAAGAGCAAAGCTCACTTCTTTCGTCCTACATGTAAATCACTATGGCTTCAGTGAGATTATGACACTCGTGATAAAGAGAAAGCAATGCCAAATGTAGAAGCTAGTTAAATACCTCGATATGTAGATAGGTGAGTTCTGTTCTTTTCCACCCATCACGTTAAATCCCAATCCTTGGTCCGTTTTTGGAAGTTCTACAACTCGTGGATGCGCATGTCCCTCGGCTGCAGCAAATGCGGCAACCGTAGCTTTTGCTGTTGCTGATGCTCGCACCTGTACAAACATTATCACGCGGTTGCTAGATAGATGGTTCAGTCTCTTTTTACCTCAGGTGATCCATCGATATCAACAATATCGTACACGGTCTCATACACCTCCCGAACAGCATTGAAAAATTCAGACTGAAGTACTGCTTGGAGGGCGGCAAGTTTGGGAGACGACACTTCGCCCGTTTTTTGAACGTGCTCCATAAGTTCTAATATCCTACTTATATCTGAAAAAGACTAATTCAAAAGGACATGATTTGATATTTGAAAGGAATCCTACCTCGTTTCAAATTCGGACCTTCCTTGTTCTTCTCCATGGCAAGGCTGTAAACCATGATAGTAATTAGAGGCAAAATCACGGCAAATTAAGCAACATAATCAATCAAGTATGTTATGAGAAAAACATGTTCAAATCAAGAATTTGACAAAATAAATAAACTTTATGAACAAAGTAAACAAAAACAAAACAATTACTCAAGCACTATATTTCATTAACCAGCGTGAAAGTTTGGGACATTTCCAAAGGAATTACATTGAAAGTCAACTTCCGTAACTCCACGTCCTTCCTATATTCGTAGACCGACATTTCTGGATTGGTCATGTCGGGATCGACGACTTCTGTGGTGATCCGGACAATTCCATCACAAGCAGATCGCAACAGCTTTTCTGACCTATCATTTTCAAAATATACCTAAAACTTGAATTCACTGACATACCAAATAGCTGTAATCAAAATGACTAGATAGCATACAATTTCAGAAGAAAACTGTAGAGTTCATACTACAAGCTACATCAATAAAAAGAATGTAAAAAGAACACAAAAATAATCACAAAAACAAAAGATAAACTCACATTTAATCCAGGGTGATAGTTTAATTTTGCTTGACAGACCAGTATGTCATCTTTGCGAACTTTTTCACCTTCCGTCCTTGAAAAAGATGTTCAGAGAAAAAGAGTTACTATTACCGGTACTATTCCACATTAGTTGACCCAAAAAATGAAAATCGTGAATTTCGCTAAAACTTTGTCTAGGGGGGTTATTTGGTATGCTGAACATGAATATGATGTTTATTTCGTACGACAGCGCCATCCGGTGGAGTTACGGTAGGATTACGGTAGGGGGTCAAAATCACGGATTTGCCCGAAACTTGACCCAGAGGGGTTATTCGGCCCGCCGATGCCAAATACCACATTGATTTTGAACCGTAGCGATATTTCCTCCGGTTACGGTAGCTACACGGTAACTGGTGTAAAACATAGCTCTGCCTGAAAGGGTGTATAGGCCGTCCGCGCAGGGCGCGGAGAGTGCGCAAGGTGTGTATTGCGCGTTACTCCTCTTTCCTCGTGCACTCTCGCCGCCTGTTTTTCTCTGCGCTTCTTCCAGTCGTGAACTGCCTTCAATGTACACAACAGCGTTGTTCTCCGTGCGCAGCGCAGACTGCCTATACGGTGATTCGGACGATCGTGAAGCTTTGCATACTCGACCACCGCCGCGCGCTACACACCCTGCTGCGGCTTTTGCCTAAGCAAAGCACAGGGAAAAGATACATTTGCCGATTTGTGATTTTGACCCCCTACCGCAAACCTACCGTAAGCATGCAGCGAGACGTTTTCGTGCGGAGAAAGTGTGACATTTCTAATCAGCATGTCAAATAACCCCTCTGTGCGAAGTTACACCAGATTTTGAGATTTTGTGCCGTGTACCCACCGTAACTCGGGAAAATGACGCTACGGTACAAAACCAACGTGATATTTGGCATCAGTGGGCCGAATAACCCCTCCGGGCCAAGTTTCGGGCAAGTCCGTGATTTTGACCCTTTACCGTAGTCCTATCATAACTCCACCGGATGGCGCTGTCGCACGAAATAAGGGACCGTTCATACCGCGCATAAAGGCGGACGAAGGCGGACGAAGCCGGACAAAGCCGGACAAAGGCGGACGAAGACGGACGAAGACGGACGAAGGCGCGTCTTGTCTCGTCTCGTTTCTCTCGAAACACACATATACACACTCACACACGCCTCGTCTCGTTTCTCTCGACACACACACACTCACACATGACTTCGTCCGCCTTTGTGCGGCTTCGTCCGCCTTCGTCCGGCTTCGTCCAGCTTTGTCCGCCTTCGTCCGCCTTTGTGCGCGGTATGAACGATCCCTAAACATCATATTCGTATTCAGCATACCAAATAACCTCCCTAGATGAAGTTTTAGCGAAATTCACGATTTTCATTTTTTGGGTCAACTAATGTGGAATAGCGCCGTTTAACCCTTGAAAACCAGTACCTGTAAATGCCACGAAAAGGCAGATTTCTGGGAGGACGCATGAGGTGTCGAGCTTGTGAGAGCAGAGATATAGACGTCCTCAGTAGGTCAGAACGCATCTATGTATGTGAGAGTATCATCATCGTAAAAGCAACAAGCAGCTTCTTAAGAGGAAACAAATGACAGTTCAGAAATGTAAAGTGAGAAAAGACCCCATTTATGGCCGTTTTTATCGTTAAGCTTCACGGTGAAGAAAACCTCCGGAAGGCTATTTGAGGTCACAGTCTACCCCAAGAAACGTTGATCAGGAAAAATGAGTATGAATCGGACTTGATTTCTATAAACATGGATATGCTCTCGAAGCCTACGCAAAACCAATTTCAATCTCAAAGACGTCGGCTATGGCTATAAGATGTAATATGGCTACATATACATGTTATAGAGCAAACAACAAAATTTATCGCTTCGCAAGCTACTAGATCGATCGGTAGCAGATGTATCTATCTTCCAAGTCGACAAATGCGTGATACGAAGACAACATCGTTTTCACAACAGCCAACGTCTGTAAGCGAATATTGAGCAACGAGAGGAAAGCCTCTGATTTTCATATGTCTGACAAAACTTGATCACAATGCAAAAGCCATGCGTCAGTTCTGCGACGTCACAACGGCGCGAAATTTCAGTTCGCAAACAAGAGTTACGACTGAAGAGACTGCCAAGATTTTCAAGTGAACAGAATCAAATTCAAGAGACTACAGAACTTATGAAGGTATCACATCGCCACAAAAAGAGATGTTTGACGCAACCGCGATGATAAAAAATTAAAGTGACGTAGCGGAAAAAACAAACGAAAAATATGGCATACAACTTCCCCTTCCCCACTGACGTCCCGTTTCTCACTTTACACTAAATCCTACTGAGCAAGAGCAAGATCCTTAGCGGATTCATTAACGAAGCTGGATTTCCGATATCGCTTGCCTGCCGAATTTGGATGTGTGTAAGCCGCGAGCACAGAAAATGAAATAGTTGCGTGAAAATGGACGAAAAATTCTTGTGGGTTTGGTGGGCCAGAGTTAACGCTACAGTTGTCCCCAAGCTTGCAAATTAATGGTTTCATTTGCTTGGTGATGGGTTTGATAGATTTAATTCAGAAAGAAGCCAAATATTCTCAGATTTCACTAAGGCAGCGCGTTTATAATTTAACCAGTGCGTCACCTCCGCTTTGCGGAGGTTCGCACTGGCTCTCCTATCCGTTTGCCTTTCTCATGTTCGCATAATGATGACTTTGAAACCCACCATGCTCAGACACTCGCACCGGCCGGCGACCGTCCGACGACGGCCTTCCGGCTGGCGACCGTTCCATAAATCTGGGCGGAGCTAAATGCCGGCCGGTGACCGTCCCAAAAGATCATGCCGGCCGGCGACCGTCCCAAAATTCTATCTCCCAGTGTCTTAGCGTAAAGGATACTTGCGTGAGATACGACGCATGGTTAGGCTACCCTCAATGCCTTGTATGTTCTTCAATTTCCGAAGCAGGAACAAGGCAACATGTTGTCTTATAGACAACCCTCGATAGTACCTTGGTGTTGTCGAATCTTAAAATCGGACGTGGTCTCCGAAGCTGCTACATCAGCGGCCTTGATTTTTGTTCTTTGCAGTGTATTTTCCTATATGCCAGTGACTAAAAGACAGTTCTACCATGTAAAACACTTCTACCGTTCCTCAGTATACACCGGCTGGCGGCCGTACCTTTCCGGCCGGCGGCCGTCCGAATACCGGCCGGTGGTCGTAGACTGCGCGGGTGAGTGAAATTGACACCACCCCCACCGGCCGGTAGTCGGACGGTCACCGGCCGGTGCGAGTGCCTGAGTGCGATGCTGAACATCACAAATGAATAGTAAACAACTGTTCATTCTTGAAGCATCTCCACTTAAAGTCGGTAATTTTAAGAGAAAAAAACTTGTCGCAAAGGAACACCTGCGAATTTGTTTGGATTACTGAATTTATTTTGGCTTGGTAGTGGTCATAAGGATAATAGTCACTTTGAGCTAAATTTTCGTGCAAAAATCTTTCCAAGTCTGAAGGTAAAACCTTGCCAAATCGACTATCTAAGCGATCACCACTTCTTTGGCGCTGTTGTCGCAAAAAAGCAAACTTTTTGAGGATTTTTTGGGCTAGAATTCATGAGGAGCAGATGTACTTGTCAGGGAAATCATGACTTCGCAAAAAGTCGAATTAATGACCTAGTTTTGCGTGCCAAAAGCCGCGTCGTTTGACGTTTGACGTTTGACGTTTGACGCGCAGTTTTTGAAGTCCCAAATATCAGATCAGCTTGTGCTTTTGCACTTTTTACCTACATGCTGGTAGGTCGCTATGACCAAAATTTCAGCTCAAGACCTTGCCTACAAAACGCTCTATGAATTTCGTGACAGACAGACATAAACACACACGCACACACAGACAGACAGACACGCGCTTTATTATAAGTCATTGGAACAGATGATTAGCAGAAATGCCACTCTATTTCTTCTGCTAAGACTATGCTAGACAACCGGCAAGGGTCAAAAACAAATTTCTGAGATTATGAATATACCAGTGCTTCACCTCTGCTTCGCAGAGGTTCGCACTGGCATCGTGAACCGTGGTAAACTCACTTTCTGAGAGCTTGTCTCTCAAATCATTGTTCGGTTTATTGCAACGTGAGCTGTAGTTAAATGAACCATACTCGCTATCTTAACCTCACATGATGTTTAGTATCGTAAATCATTCCTCACTGTAATTTCGTAACGGACAAACTCCACACAACTTCAGATTAAGCCGCTTATTATAAGTCACCAGTGCGTCACCTCTGCTTCGCAGAGGCTCGCACTGGCTCTACTATCTAGGCCCTACTCATTCTCGCATAATGATGGCATTGGAACTCACCGAGCAATGCCGATTATCACGAACAAAATGTAAACAACTACTCATTCCAAAAGCTTTTTATGTGAAATCGGTGATTTCGCATGGATGAGAATTTTTGCAGGAGAACAAACGCAAATTTTTACAGGTTTTTGATTTTCCCATGGTCTTGACAGTTGCAGTAAGGACAGCAGTCACCGTGAGCTAGATCTTTGTGCAAAAATCTCGTCAAATGCTCTGGTAAAACCTTGGCAAATTGACCATTTATGCAACCAATACTTTTTGGCGCCGTTTTTCTAAAGTAATGGACTTTTGATCACCTTTTTGGGTCTAATTTCATGGTTTGCGCTTTTATTTGGTATAAACATCCACTACTTTGCAAAACGTGGAATTATGGACCCATTAATGCGGCCCAAATGCAAAATGGATCCGTTTGACGCGCAGTTTCTGAGTGATCCACTCAACGAATCTGCTCGTGCTTTTGCATGTTGGACTTTCATGCGAGGAGCATGCGCTGTGCAAAATTTGAGCCCAGGAGGTTGGCTGGAACACGCTCTACGAATTTCGTAACAGACACACTCACACACACACAAAGTCACGTAAACATCCTTAGCCCGTTATTATAAGTTATGATGATTTATTCGCTTTGGTAACGACTTGAGAGGGGGAGGAGATTGGCTCACGCGAATTTTGCCTAATCTCATCGTAAAACTTTACAATAAGCTGCTATCGTGACGCTTGTTTAATTCTAATCAGCCGCCAAATGGCCGCGAAGTTGTGGCGAAATCAAAGGTTTTGCTCCTCTACCGTACCACTACCGTATTCTCGGTGCATGGCGTCACGTCTCACAATCGCTATGCTAATAACTCCCGCGCCCGAAGATCCAGCTATCAGTTGGGGGGAAATTTCATCAGGCTGATGTAAGATTGCACCACATGACAGACTCTTGCGCCGACGTACTTGAATTTTTGAAATTTTTTACCCGCAGTGGAATAGCGCCGAAGTTTGAATGCGCCTAACCCGCCTATTCCCAAGCGCAATCACGTCACCATACTTCTTTACTATTCGGATCACAAAGCAATGTCAGTACCAACCCACGCATTCTATAGAAAATCACCTGATATGCACTTGAATCGAAAACTGATCGTTCGTGCGTCCAGCGAACGTGCCGTGGTTTAGCGTGCAGCGGCTGCACTCTGCCGTCTGGTGTTTGGTTGGGCGGAGCCAGCCGTGTGACGGTTGGGGTCGTTGGGATTCAGTTCTCCCGCCCATTGACGTTCGTACTGCCTTCCGTGCATGTGATCTTTTCTTCTTCTCTACTTCTAGTGCTCTTGCATTCTCATATTTTTCTTATTGTTCCAGAATTTTCCGTTTTTCTCGTATATATAGCCGGAAAACTTGTTCGAACGTTAGTCGCTGTCCGCACAGCCCGGCATGCTCTGCCTTTCTCTCGGGCATCTGTCTGTGTCTCTGTCATTTATTCGTGCAACAAGTCTGGGGTATTCGCATTTATGTTCATGAAATATCCCTAAATTTCACTGTTGAATAATAATCGATGTAAGGGCGCAGACTTTTTCTCATTTTCAAATTCGTCATGCAGTTTCACAACCATTTCTTTGTTTGATTTTGCGTCGGCATTGCGTTTTCTCTTTGATTCTCAAAGTTGTGTGGAAAAACTATTTTTCAATTGCGTTGTGTTTCATTAGCAGCATAATCGAGATGAACAGAGAAAGCTACGAATACTAAAAAGTCCTTCCATTGTCATAAGCATCTGCATTATCATCGCTTTTCGTCAATCTGTCCTCTATTTTAATATTGGGAACAACCTCTTGTTTGCTTTTTTCATGGTTTATGATATGTTCAAAAAAAAATCGATAGTTTCATGTTTATTCTTCTCTGTGCAATATCAGGGTTTGTTTTGCTTTTCTCTCTCATTGTCATCATTGTTTCCTAGGCTGACCACTGACGTTCGCGGCTTTGCAGTTCAAATTTGTTATGGAGTATTTCTCTAGCTTTTTTGTAACATCGAATCTACTAGATTTTTTTGCAACTTTCGCATAAAACGGTTGCGACATGCGTTTTTCTTCTGATGGCTACCACGGCATACCACAATAGCAGCTGAATATTCATGCCAACTAAATTCGATTGCAAGATTCTGGCAGAAGCCGAGACCGCTTCCATCACTGTCCGCTTGTTTTCATCTGTATCAGGTTACAAGCCTGCTTTGACCAAAATCTCCGCTTGTTTTACCTACCAAACTTCCTAAACTCAAAAGTGGGGGTGTAAATAATGAGAACCTTATGTGTAATCTTGATGGCCAACAAACCTTATTTCAATTGTATACATGTGAATAATTCATCGTGGTGATTAGGTAGCAGTCATTCATAAGCCTTTATGCTAATGTTATGTTCCTCTCTACAACCGTCGCCTCATAATCATTTTTTAGTCGTATTCATCAGATCATTTCAGGTGAAAGAAAGTTTACTATCTCATTATGGGCAAGCGCAAGTCAAAGAGAAAGCCACCACCAAAGGCAAAAGCAGTAGAGCCGCTTGAGACACAATTCAACTGCCCTTTCTGCAATCATGAGCGAGTATGTGAAGTGAAAATGTGAGTTTACTATGTTACAATGTTCATCAATCAGTTTATCTCCTCAAAATTTCATTTACAATATAGTCATTTTGTTTTTCTCCTGACATTAATGTTCGAATTTCAAACAATTTCAATTCATCAATACCGTTTGACACCAAATGTCATCAGGTTTACTTTTCTTGATATTTCCTTTGAAAAGCCGGTGTGTGGGTGTAAAATGTTTGTCACACTCATTCGCTTAAATCTAATTCCAAAATGGTGTTGCAGTTCACCTGTCATGGGCTTTGAGACACCTATCGCCGCTTTTCTTTTCAATATGTCTTTCAAAGAAAATTGGAGGGTAGACAGTTCCTCGAAAGGCGAATTGTTGTAACTTTCCTGATTTCAGGGATAGGGAGAACAACGTCGGTCTGATCTGGTGCCGAGTATGCTCGGAAGATTTCCAGACACCGATCAACTACCTCTCAGAACCGATCGATGTCTATTCAGATTGGATTGACGCCTGTGAATCTGCCAATGCGTAAATCACAGTCGATAGCAACCTGCTTTGATCTCATGGTTCAGTGTACGATTTTTTGTTGAATTGTTTCTCATTCCGTGCTCGTGGCGGTTTCTGGCCCTAAGGCACATTAATGTATATCTTGTTTCTCGTTGCTCACAGTTGTAAATAATTAGAGATAACATTTTCGTTTGGAAGTTGTTTACCTTGCGTTGAAATCGGAGGTTTATATTAATAAAGAGCTCGGAATATTCCTCTTGAGTAGTTGGCTAGGCGTTATTTCGGTATCTCTAGTTTATGTGTTTTCTGGAAATCATGGAGGATAGTGTTGGTTTTTGAAGTATTGCAAATCGGTCAAATACATGGGGCCCCGGGGCAAATATTTGCAATCGCATGTGCCATTCAGAGCTGCTTAACTATAGTGCAATGTATGATTATTCTAGTACTCACAGTGTTACAGTACCTTTAATGGAGGGATTATACAGGAAATAAACATCATTGTGAAAAGATGAGTCACAGAGTGTAGCACGTTATTTGAAATCACTAATTCTGGGGGGAAGGATGTCAGGTGGCCTGGGTAATCGATAACATTGACAGCAATTTGACTCTGTAGTTTACATATCTCGGTTGAATGGCCAGGAAAATAGGTCATCCATTTATCAAATCACGCAGAGTTATTCTGTAACGCTGTACTCGACTTTCCCCTAAAGGCAGTGGTCACCCAGTTTCTCGACTTCCATGTTTTGGTGTTCCGAGGCCTTCTCATGTTCCGGATTCCCGAATATGAAGTCCATAATCCGCGAAAGGGTGCGGGAAGTTTCTCACCGAGCCATATTGTCGCACCTCAGTGATATGCCTGCCAGACGCATTCGGACTAGCTATAATTACGAGCTCCTCAGGTACAAGACACTGCGAGCCCAGCCCCTTTATCGAGTGTCGCTTCAGATGCTGAAACCGGAATTTCAAAGAAAGTTTCAAAATCGACGTTCATTAACGAAATTACTCCAGTCAAGACCAAATTTCGGATTCAGGGGTTTTCGAGGTCGTTCCTTTCAGTGGTGACATTCGTTTGATGCGAAATCGAAGTTCAGCACCAATAATGTCCAACCGAGATCAAAATTCAATTTGAATGTTCTCGAACTTTTCTTTCTCAGAACAAGACCTGATGTTTAGGCCTACTGGTCATCAAGGTTGTCCCAAGGCCTGAAAACTTCATAGTAGACCTAGAAAGCTCGGAATGATGTCAAGCAATAGAGGAAAACACCTCATTATTTGAAAACAATCTAATCTCAAACTAATGTACGGATATTTTTTTTCAACAGTTTCATAATTTTTCAGAAACCCGTAAACCTAAGAAATTTCGGCTAATTTTGATCTCGTTGGGCACTATCACTGTCGAATCTTGACTTAGCAACAAACAAATCTCGCGTTTGAAAAGAGCATCCTCGGAAACCCCTAAATCCGAAATTTGGTCTTGATTGAGCACTTTCGCTATTGGACTTCGATTTTGAAACTTTCTTTGAAATCCCGCTTACAGCATCTGGAGCGACTCTGGATTAAGGGCGGGGCTTGCGATGTCTTGGTCTTTTGAGGAGCTCGTAATGATAGCTAGTCCGAATGTACCCGGCAGGCACATCACTTAGGTGCAAGAATATGGCTCGGGTGAAAAACTTCCGCCCTCTCCGCGTAAATGCCGGCAATACTCGGCAGGCCGATTCTCCGCAACGGTGGTTGGATGGGCGCGCACGGATGGGCCGGCATGGATGGGAAGGCGGTGCCGTCTGTTGTCCTCGTGCATCTTCGTTATTCCGATTTTCTCACTTCCGAAGCGGCATGTTGCGTTGCGACTTTGCACTGCCTTGATAGGGGGCCCTATTATCATTTCCTGCCAAAAGCTCAAGATCCTCAACTTGGGGCGGACGATCTGTTTCAATTTGTTTCCCTGCCCGATCCCGATGTCCAGGGGAGGAGGCGGCAAAAAATTTTTCAAATGAAGATGCATGGCATTAGCCAGGCACTCCGAGAAATTTTCTGGGCCAGTGCACATTTTTATAACCCATGTAAGTTAACTTCAAGTATTTCTGACCCATTCTCGGGGGCCCCCTCGGTTCGCCACTGGAATTTAGCACAAATCATGCTCTTCAATTTGGCATCGTTTCAAAAGCAAATAGCAGGACTGCGATATAAGACTTGACCAACACATTCTGGGTTAACAAGCATGGACAAATACCTGTTATACAAATAACACACGGAATGGAACAGTTAAAGTCATTGTAGCTTTCAACACTCATGATTGCCTTTCGAAATAGGTCTGACTAAGACATGCTTGAGTCACTCACTTACGAAATTCGGCAGGCTCCAAAAGGCATGCCACCATTGGCAGCCTAAAGACTCAGTGTTGAACATAATTTCTCCGTCTGCTGTCTCCTCATTTGCCGTGTTCCCTGGATTTAAGGGAGCGAAGTAAGAAAGACAGTAAGCGAGAAATCGTTGCTTGTGACGTGATGATCGACTGTCGCCCACGTTTACCAATGGGAAAGCGAAATAGTAGTTACAGTAAGTTTCAACTGAGTTTATGCGAAAATTGGACTGGCGGGAGTCCGCTTCGCAACGATTCGCGCCACTTTGCAGTCAGCGTCTTTTCATTCTGATCTATCTCGCTGAACCAGCGGCGGTGCGGACGCGTTACTCCACTTATAATGTTTCGCCTACTCCGGGTTGTAAAAGACTATACCCTTTCTAGCATAGATGTGTATCTACAAGGATTTAAAGAAGTGTGCGTAAATTCAGCGAGCACATTTTGTCCGCTCTATTTAGAAAAGAATCTATCAAAAGGAATATCGTTATGTATATCGACGTGTGGTAGGTATCGTCGACTCTAAAAATCGTGACGACGGTCTGCAGTGCGGCCAGTGCGCGCCGCACGGCACTGCCGCTTTATCGTGGGGCAATCTTGCTTCTCTGCAGTGTAGGCTCCCTGCAGTAGCCATGAAAGTTCCTGCAAGCAAAAAAGATGCAAAAAGAAAAAGAAAAAACACAAGAACTCACCTTCTCCACGTAATTTGGGCGAATCACTAGGCGGCAGTGCCGTGCGGCGCGCACTGGCCGCACTGCAGACCGTCGTCACGATTTTTAGAGTCGACGATACTGAGGGATCGTTCACACCGCGCCTGTACCCGCCCAAATACGCCCGAATACGTCCAAATACGCCCAAATACGTCCGAATACGTCCAAATACGTCCGAATACGTCCAAATACGTCCGAATACGCCCAAACCCGCCCGAACGCCGAAACTGCCAATGCGCAGCAAATTGCATGCAAATTCATGTTTGCTGACTCTAGGTGAGTTCTAACTTTCGTGCTGTGCGTTTTCTTTTCTTTTGAGCATGACGATCTTGTTGAGGTAATGCTTTGTTCTGTCTATGAGTCATTTCTTTCCATATTGATCTGGTGCAATAAAAAGGCCCGGTCTTTGCTCAAAAGCGCCCAAATTTTTCTGTCTTTCTCTGGAGGAGAGATAGGAGTGAAGAGAGATTCAAAAAACTTGAGCGCTTTCGGACGCTTTTGAGCGAAGTCTGGCCGGGGCCGAAGAGGTATTCTAGTCATCTTTACGCGTTAGGCATACTGTCCCTGTAAAGTATAAACAAAAAGTTGACAACGCACGTACTTAGAAAACAGACAAAGAAAATGTGCATATTCTATTCATTCCAGATCAATATGGAAAGAAATGACTCATAGACAGAACAAAGCATTACCTCAACAAGATCGTCATGCTCAAAAGAAAAGAAAATGCACAGCACGAAAGTTAGAACTCACCTAGAGTCAGCAAACATGAATTTGCATGCAATTTGCTGCGCATTGGCAGTTTCGGCGTTCGGGCGGGTTTGGGCGTATTCGGACGTATTTGGACGTATTCGGACGTATTTGGACGTATTCGGACGTATTTGGACGTATTCGGACGTATTTGGGCGTATTTGGACGTATTCGGGCGTATTTGGGCGGGTACAGGCGCGGTCTGAACGATCCCTGAAGAACGGCAGGAATCAATGTGTTTTGCGTATCAGGTGACGGAGCACAATGGCTATCTTGTCAAACCTATTTTCAGTTTCAGTTATACTCAAACTCCCAATGCTTAGAAGGAGCCAAACTTGCGTATAGAATGGCTCTGTCTTCCTCATATGTACGGCTGATTGGACCGATTTGGACGAGATTTTAGACAGTCGTTTTACAATACTTGCAAGAGTAGTGGATCCTTCCTAAGGACCTCATAGGATTGCTGCTATGGAAACAAGTATTTGAATCCTCTTTGGCCATTGTGGTCCAGCTCTTTGGACAGCATATATGGAAACGAGACGATCTCTTTCAGTCGTTAATCGTTAATGAAGAACCTTATTTGAGGGGGCAGAAATCGTCAACGCCTCTGCAGCTGAACACTAGTAAGACTGTAGCAGCGAAAAGCCAAGATATCATCGTACGGACTTGAAACTGCAGTACGCAAAACTCTTGAGGCTTTGCACAGATCTGAACAAAAAATCTAAGATCTAAAATCAAGAAAAAAAGAGTGCGTTGGTAACGAAACAACGCCCGCGGTTTCGTAGTGTAGACTTCTCCTTTACTAACAATCGGGCGTCGACAAGATTACGGATTGTATACCTATTACTGTATCAGTATCACTCCTCAAGCTCGAGCACACTCTCTCTAAGGCCTTGAGCAGAGTTCACGCGATTTCATCGTCGCCATTGATCGCGACAAGAAACTGTATTAATATCATTGCATGCCAATCTTCTTGTATTTCGGTTTGGTAGTTAATCACGTTAGTCGTGTTGGAAAACTATCACAACCGAAATGCAAGAAGATTGGCATGCAATCCTATCATTAAAGTTGTCTTGTCGCGATCACCCGACGATAAAATTGCGTGAACTCTGTCCGAGGTCTAAGACCATCTTTTTACTTTCGTTTTTTGTAGACTAATAATCAAGAGATACGCCACATCACTATAAGCCACTATAAGCAAAAAAATAAGATCTACTCGTGCTGGAAAAGTAAGAGTAAAGCAATTATAAAGCAAGCCGTGGTGGTTGTAGGCTTTATTGTAGCCTTAGGCGGATGGGTGGCGCCTGTAGTAGAGTATGGTGGCTCCTTATTAGAACACGTAAGCTATTGAAGCTTTATTGAACAGACGACATGCACCCATTCGTGCAGTGGCAGAATGCTGAGGATTGAAGGCGTGGTAAAGTAGTATCACAAACTTCTGGGCAATAATATACTCATATCACAGCAGGTCATGCTTATGACATGACCTTTACGGTGCTTAGCAGGAGTAATGATATGGTTGTAAGGAAGGTGCCGACAAGTCGGCACACAAGCAGATGTTAGTATAAAGACACTATAATGATAACAAGGTTCAGAAACAAACTAACGACTAACAAGAGTAACATAGGCAGGCGTCAAAACATACTGTAGCAGGCAGGACCTGGAGAGTGTAGCTACTAGGAAGAGAAGACTTTGCCGGAGTTGATCACCTTCCAATCTGATTCCGAGAGTCTTCGCCCTCTCGCTTGCACTCCACAATTACACGCGATGGTAATGTCGCGCTGCAAAAAAGATCCCCTACAGCTTATTTAAATTTGATCTGCATGATTAAGGCTCTACTGCTTATACGTTGTGCCTAACAGATCTACTAATAAGTGTTCGTTGCCAAAGGGTATTATTTTTTAGGTTAGTATCTCTTTGCGATATTGTGCAGACTCTATTTTTGTCTTATCAAATGATTTTTTTAGCAAGATAAGACAAAGTGATGGATAATAATGGTTTTGACTTTTCTAGCTCCGACGAATGCGCCTCTCAACCCTTAAGAGGAAGAACCATCAGTGCAGTTATAAACAATACCCATGAAGGTTACTTTAAATAATTATGCTTCTTCATTGAAATCAAAAAACTGGTCAATGGGCTCCTAGTGGAGAAGCTCAAAATTTCACTGCAATAGCTTTAATGCAGCTTTGGGGTTGCATTCCAATTACTGTGGGATATAAGAGCGTGCTGTATTAGTTACTAGCTGGCTTACCCGGCTCCGCCGTATCCGGACCAAACTTGGTACACACACACTTCGGGCCCCGGCGGGTGTCACAGTCCACTTTTCGTTATCGATCGATGTCGATTTTACCGACTTTTATCGATTTCTTGCAGAGTTCACCTACAGGGCTAGGAGTTGGCACAGGGGGGAAGTGAGCATGGGGATTCCGAATACAATATTAGTTTTCAGAATTATCGATTACTTTTATTGATTTTATCGATTTTTTGTAAATTTTGACATGCGAGGCTGGGATTTTGCACATGGGGGTAATCGAGCATGCTGATTACGAACACAATATTAGTTTTCAGGATCGTCTATTACTTTTATCGATTTTATCGATTTTTTTGTAAAGTTTGACCTGCGGGGCTGGGAGTTTGCACAGGGGGTAATCGAGCATGCAGATTACGAATACAATATTAGTTTTCAAGATCGTCCATTACTTTTATCGATTTTATCGATTTTTTGAAAATTTGAGCTAGGGGGCTGGAATTTGGCACAGGGGTGTAATCGAGCATGCTGATCACCCCCCTTGGGATGATCAGCATGCTGGATTACCCCCCTGTGCGAACTCCCAGCCCCGTAGCTCAAACTTTGCAAAAAAATCGATAAAATCGGTAAAAGTAATCGATAATCCTGAAAACCAATATTGTATTCGGAATCCCCATGCTCGATTACCCCCCTGTGCCAACTCCCAGCCCCGTAGGTGAACTCAGCAAAAAAATCGATAAAAATCGATAAAATCGATATCGATCGATGACGAAAAGTAGCCTATGACACCCGCCGGGGCCCGAAGTGTATGTGTGCCAAGTTTGGTCCGGATCGGTTCAGAAATGGAATTTTCTATTCGGAACATACGTACACACATACATACATACATACAGACAGACATACAAACAGACATTCAGCTTTATATATAAGATAAGCTTTCTCAAAGCTCTTTTGAATGATTTTTGAGAATGGACATTCACGAACCTGCATGAAAAGAGCTGAAGACACGTCAGCAATGCAATGAAGAATGTCAAAGCGGTGATCAAAAAAGCACATAAGAGTAAACTCGCTAGCAAGCTGTATCCCTACACTTTTCTCACGTGCTGATCTGCTGATTGTTCTCTAACAAGGTGGAAAACAGTACGTAATTTGAACTTATCTTTCTCAATGAGTTGATTCAAAATGCTGGTGCAATAGCACAACGTATAGATGTATGGGAATCTTTGATTCAGTTGACGCTCGGTCGGTAGCGTGGTCAAAAACAAATGTGGATGTCACACAAGTTTCAAACGTAAGAAACCTTTTTTCTAGCAACTAGCCCTTTCCATCGAATCATAATGCTTTTCATAGTTATTAGGTTCTCATTGTCTCAAAATATTGGATTCTCTATCCAGCATTGCTGTAGCAATGAAGGCGAAGAGGATTGAAAATCAGAATTAACTCCAAATTTTGAAAAATTCTTAGAGGCGACCCTCGAATGTATTTAAACACTTTATTAACTTGACTCTAATTTGACAGAACTCGTGAGTTATCACAAGTTCTTTCTTTGTAATCAATCAATCATTTGGATGTAAATGTCGAATCTAAGTAATGCAAACAGTGCGATTCTAATTTGAAGCTTAGGATGATGTAAGCATTGTTGCTTTGAAATCTTCCATAAATTTGTTTACCCTTTCTTTGTGTTTTGGTATCTTGATCTGAAACAATAAAGCTCATATGGAAATAACAACTCCGTTTCTGATTGTTTACCAACCTTGATATAGTCGAGGACGCTGAGGACTATGAATACGAATTGCCCTTCTACCTGGATGCATGATGCCCGTTGATTGCGAAGTGTTTTGAACAGTTCCGCAATCTGAATGTTTCTAAATTTAGAAACCAAACTCGAATGAAAAGCAGAAGAAGCGGCGCATTGACCAGACAGTTGGTAGGCTATCATCTGTTTCATTGATATTTTTTCGTATGCTCAAAGACTCCTGTTGATGCTAGCGCAAATGAATTTTCTTTTTTGCAGATAACGTTGCAAAGCCTATGATAAGCAGGGTCAAGCAGGTAAAGCACCTTCAGCCTGGAAGACGCATTGCGGATGGAAACGTTTTGCGACTTATTGGCGGGAAACACGTTCAAAGGTGTCAAAGAAGAGTTAACGACTTTTCAATACACCGAGCAAGGCTAATTTCATTCTCACCCTCTAATTCATATAGTGCTGTCCCTTCCAAGTAGGTGTTTTTGCGGCTCATAACACGGCAATATTGAACGTCGATGAGGCGCTTCTCAAAGTACCTACTCTGAAGGTGCTTAAAAAATTTCGACAAGCTCACAAAGGTCATCATCGATCTCGCTGCCGTTGGATGTTTACCACATACTATAACACTTTGATGATCGCGACATTTAGGCTGAATCCCACCAACGTTTTTCGCGCATTTAGCTGGCATACGCGCGTATGCACGAAGACACTGTGTGGATTTTGACTCTAGCATCCAAAGCATGTGTTCACACCGAAAACAATGATAAACGCGAGTTTCCGCTCAAGGACCACTATTTGAAGAATTATTTGAGTATTACTAGCGTCACTGTGCCACGTGCAAAGTGTGCCCAGATTTGTTTCGCAAAGGCCCGACGAGAGCAGGTAAGTTTCCGTTCAAATGTAATCACTTATAAAGGTTTTCCTTTACACTCAGCAATAAAAAGGCGACTTCAGAAGCCGGAAACAATTGTTTTGAGGAATTTACAATGATGGATGATTGTAGGAATTTACAATGATGTAGCGCTAATACTGCAACACTTAGCAAAAGCGAAGAATTGAGCGATGATGCGAGCGGCAATAAGATGTGGACGACGCTACCTGGAGTAAGGAGATTGCGAATCCGCCAGGGTTTCGGATTCCTGATGATGCTTCTGGGCTTCTACTCAGACAATCACAGGCTCTCAGCGAGCCCCACCAAAAGCGTCGTTGCCTTATCGCAGCCACTGTCGCTTCCCGCTGAGAGCTTTGTCGGAGCTTGTCGGAGCGGGCTCGCTGCCCGCTGAGCCCGCTCCGACAAGCTCCGACAAAACTCCGACAAAGCTCTCAGCGGGAAGCGACAGTGAGGCGATGAGGCCACCGCGCTTTTGGTGGGTCTAGGCGGCGGCTTTGTGGCTGCCGGCTGAGAGCATTTGATTGTCTGAGTAGCTTCATTAGAGGAGTGTCGTGAACCCATTGATTACTATTTTTGCATGGTCGAAGTACTTACTTACCGTACTTAAGTGCGTACTTACCATCTTGTTGCGGACAAGACCAATCGACGGGCCTACAAAAATCAATGTTTCCCCCCTCTCCCCACAGAACCAGATGAGCTCAAAAAATACATTGCGATCCGAATTCTGATGGGTTTCCTTAGTATGCCGAGAGTCTACGTTTAGTGGTTGTCAGATTTGCAGTAGATGGACATCCAATCTGTTTGAAGTTATGTCAAGAAAGGATTCCCCACGATTTTCAATACCTACATTTTTGGACAACGATATTTTAGATAAGGGTTGTTCAGAATTCAGGGTTTGCTCGATGTCTTCACAGTCAACTGCAAATGCATTTCATTTTCGAGAGTGTGTCTGCATAGATGAAGGTTTGAATCTGTTTCGGGCAGGATCTCATTTCGGCAATCATACCAAACAAAAGACGAGTATAGGCTGAAGCTTTTCAAAATCTGTTCCAGTGGCGGATACACATACAACTCGTCTACTGTAGTAGAGCGGACTAGCCAAGAAACGATCCGGTGGCTGAAGGCCTCATAATGGACTTAATGGGGAATCTTCTCACTGCGGTAGATTCCTCTACACAGACAATGTTTATGCAAGTATTCAGTTGGCCGGAAAATGCTTATCAGACACGTTTTGTGAGTACAATCAGGAAAAATCGTCTTGGCTGCCAAGAGAAGTGATAAGCCGAAAGCCGAAGAGGAGACAAGTGGTTGCGCAACAAAGGAGCGACTACATCTTATTGTTGAATTAGAGAGACAAAAGAGGATGTCCTCATGTCAACCACCATGCACAAAGCGGATTTTCTGAGAGCAACAAGGGTCATTTTTGACCACAACGCCGGCAAAGTCCTCATTGATTATCGGACTAGATGGCCGCTTATGAGCCATTCGCTAGGAGAATGAGAGTAGTACCTTAGAACCTTCTTTCACGCGGCATGCCAAACGCTTGTTAACTCCTGGAATCCCCTGGAAATGCATAGAAGAAAATCTACAAAAATCATCAGTTTCCGGCGGCATTTCGTGACTAGCATTCTGAAGCCAATTCGAGTCTTCTACATCAAACATAAAATATCGTCTAATCGAGCTCGAAACAGTAGGACTCAAACAAAGGGTCCATGTGATCCAAAACGGTTTGCTGGTGTCGATATCAGTTGCTATCGATGCTAGCAAATGTTTTGGATCACATGCCGCTCGAAGGCAGCCAAGCAGGTGAAAAACGAGGTACAGTCGCTGCGAAAACCACCTTGCCTTTATTGTTTCAAGAAATTGCTTTTTTTCATTTCTGAATGACTTTGCTCTGTTTATTAAATTGTAAAGTGGATTTGATCTAATGTAATTGTGAAGTAATAGAAAGTCTACAGCGAGCATAGTTCTCTCTTTGCACCTAACGCTATGCCCTGCTATATCTGTCAGTCAGGCCACTCGCATTATAAGTTCTTAAAAGACATCTGAAAAGTTTTCGTTATCTTAAAAAGATTGACGTGCGTATGCGCGTATACTTGAAAATGCTAAACGAGAGCCAGGGCGTTCGTTTGGCACGAGGCCGTTTACGTGCTAAAAAATATTTCCCAGTAACTCTGGAGGTGGAGACCAGCAAGCAGGTTCAAGTAAGTGTGTGTGTGAAGAGGAGCGTTCTCGAAGAAAGTGTGCTTGATCTTTCTTAATCCCAGTCGCAAGTGTGTGCCTGCGGGCTCGACGGACTGGCACGAAACGCAGCGATGCCCGAGGTGGGGCAATAAGCTTGCTGTCGCATACGATGTACGGTGGCATCCCGTCGTGCTGTGCTGTCCCGTGCCGAGCACGAAAGAACACAGCCTCAAAAGCACCTGTTATTTTCCAGGTTGCGAGAGTTATCGAGAGAGTCGCCAAGTTTTCCAACATACTCTTTTTGAAAACGAGCTGGAAATAGCTACATATCCTTTGAAGCAATTCGCCTCTTCCCGTAATGAATTAATGCCCTAAGGTTTTTTGGAACAACTTTGTCCTAACGCTCAAGTTTTTTATACTGTTATTCTCTATACCTTCTCACTTTTCCATAAAACAATGGAATAGTGTTATCCTTGTGAGAGTAAAATGCTATATGAAGTTTATTTGAAACTAGGGATGGAGAGGAAAATGCATCTGTAGGATGCATGAGGTGACAATGCGAGCCACAGAGAGGATATGGGAGAAACATAACGTATGAGAGTATTGGAGAGGAGTGTAAGAATTTGGATGACATTGGGAAACGGGAGCTAGATGAGGAAGATAGGGGTAGAGGCTGGTCTCAATGTAAAGCTGAGGATTTAGGCTAAGCTGGCGGCAGAAAAGCGAGTTTTTTTGAAGGTTATTTCTTTTTGTATCCTCTTTGGAGACAGATTGTGCGGCTCGATCAAACAGTTCTGTGTCTCGCGCTTTTCCTACATTGAAAGTGATAGGAGCGACATTTGTTAGCAAATCTTACAAGGGAACCGTGTCGAGTCGAAGTGGCCTTTCCAGATGAGACCCATACTGCTTTGAGGAGTATTAAGCGATAATTCCAAATCTGCCAAGCGCCTCTGGACGCCGAGTTATGACCGTTTTTTGGAACGAAAAATGAATGTAGAATTTAGGTAAAATCGATTATTACAATCTTTCCAGCGCTCAGATAAAGCAATGTTAGGTATTAGCATATTAAATAAAATGTATCCATTGCATAAGCAGCTCTGATACTTGACACTGGACCATTTGAGCAAATTTGGGCGATTTTGCTTTAGTTTTGCGTTCAATTTCTTGACCTGAAAAACGAGTATAACTCGGCGTCCAGAGGCGCTTGGCAGATTTGAAAGGCAGATTTGGAATCACCGATTAATGCTTTTCAAAGCAGTATGAGTCTCATCTGGAAAGGCCACTTCGACTCGACACGGTTCCCTTGTTAGTTCGAGGACTGCTTATAGTGATCTATGCACGTTCTCTGAACAATGGAGACTTACATCAACATCTTTTGCGCTAAATAGACGGCGCAAGATTACGTCAATGAGTATGATGGTACCGGTTCTCCCAATCCCTGCAGAGCAGTGCATCACTATCGGTCCATTATCGAGTTTGTCTCCCTACAATCCAAGTAACTTTGCATCAATACTGCGACTAAGGGTTAGACCCTTAGGGGTTGAGCCTTGAGGAAGAACTAGCTTACGTTAACTTGACGAATAAGCCTCAACACATGGCGCCCACTTACTGGTAAACCACGATCTGGCCAACTTGTCATGTGTATTACCTAAAATCAAGACTCTTGCGGTTATAGCAGCACGCATGTTAATTCAGCCATTTGCTCTCCTGACCGCGTTTTGACTCACCTTTACTATATTAGAATTTGAACAACCTTCCGGTAAAACCTCGACTGTGTATATCAAAAATTTCCCTTCGGACTCAACCTACATGATGCTTCGCATTATTATTTATTTGATGATTGTATAGAAACCTACTACCTTTTTTGTATTGATAAACATTTTTCCATAGCTTTGAAATGCTCCTGGCTCGAGTGGCCAGTACTGAGTTGACTTTATCTTACCATCTTCTATTATCTAAATAATATTCATGCAGGATACCTTTGCTATTGAATTTTGAATCCACTTTTGTGAGATTGACAACGTTGGGACATCCTTCTTGAAAGACCATTCTCCAGAAATCTTCTATTGTGTTGTCTAGAGGAGCCTAAATTATGCAGCTAAAAACTCTTGATTTCAGTGAAGCATTCGTGACCTGTGTCGCTATAAAAACTTTATCATGTCCTTCAAATTTAACCCAGTTCGCGTGGATGTAGTCTGTGCTTGGCGGAACATCTAATGTGAGCTTGACCCGAGTATCATCCAAACACACAACGTCCCAAAAGCACAGCAGTAAGAGATGTCAAGAACGAACTGTCACGCACTAGATATCGGTTCCTTTCAGGATTTGCCTCAAATGCTGTAAATTTATATCTTTCATCCGGTGCTCGATATCCAGATAGTTGCTCTCGGAACTGCCTCCTCAGTCCATCGACACCTGAAGAGATATTTTTTCAAAGTACTCGTGTAAATCGGAAGGTAAGCTACCCGTGGACATGCACAAACTGACAAGGGAAGGCAGCAACTTATTCCGATTCAGCCCCTGGGGAATTAGCTTGGAACAGAATACATGTTCGGAGTAGAAGCCGTTTGTGGAGATAAGCGCCAAACTTTGGCCATACGTTTTGGACCCGGCGGATGCCATGGGTTATTTTGCAGCACTTAAAGGCAGTGTCCAGACAAATCTGGGCCTATGGATTTTTTGCCTGGAAACTGATGAGGAGGTTCCAGCTAAGGCACTTCCCAAACCGCAGCGCAAATTATTACTTCACGGCTGAGAAATCCGTCCCTAAACACTCGAGGCTGCGCTGTGACCGTAACACTTAGCATGGGTCCCAGCGCGAACGTAATGTTAAAGTGAGCGATCGTTTTCGGGTTACGGTCACGGCGCAGGCGAGGGGTTTTTGGGGAAGGATTTCTTGGCCGTGAATGAACTATTTGCACTGCCCCTTGAGCAGTGCCTTAGTTAGGACCCCCTCATCAATTTACAGGAGAAAACAAAACCCATGCGCCCAAATTTATCTGGACACTGCCTTTAACTTAAACGGGCATACATCAGCAATCTACCGCCTCGCGACTTTAGCAACAAGACAACTGCTACATGTCCACTGCAGTTCGATCATCTTGAAACTCGGTTGTGCTAGTTTTCCGAGCCGACTGATGGCGAATAACATCACAACCATACAAGATATCGGCATGCAATGAACTCGCAACATCTCATAGCAGTTGTCTTGCATGAAGAATAGCGAGGCGATGAAATCGCTTGATGTATGTCTGGCCCTTTTACCGATTTTTAGCATTTCCAAGAGAATGAAGTCTTATCAGTCACCGAACGTTCAAAATTTCATGTGATGAAGACCACCTTGATTTCGCGGTGAGGTGGATGCAGGATTCGAGGCAAGGTTGGCGAAGAATGATTTTGGCGTTGCAGTGCGAAGGAGATGACAAAAGCAAAGGGGAGAGAAGGAAGCGGAAGAGGAGGAAAGAGCACATCGTGCCTTTGCACCCTCCAGGTATATGCAGCCAGGTTCCTTCTGCGCAATTGAGGCTCATACCGACTTTCGTGCCGCGGTGCGCACGTAAGTTTCTTGAGATTTTCATATAACAAGACTATGTAGACTTTCTGTCTCATTCTGTCAATTTTAAAAAGATTTTAAGAACTATACCAAGAGTTGTCATAGCTTCAACATAATTATCAATCACTCTTTCCACATCAACAGGCATCGCATCTCGTCTTGGCCTTGGTCTCGCAACCTGCATTCAATGAGTTGATATGTCGTGTATTAATGTCATCAGGACGTACTCCTCTTCCTATTGCGGTTTGATTATCATCATCGGTATCCCTAGCTTCCCTTCTTTTTAATCGCGAATCCCTCCTCTTTTTGGGTGTTCGATAGGCCATCCTCTGAAATCGTAATGTCACGATTCGCGTTACTCAGTCTCGTCTACTAATTTTAGCCAAATACTAGCTGTAACTGAGAGATTGGGAGTGCGTACAAAAGTTCAACGGTTGCTGCAGTTTATCGAAGCGGCCTTGGTGGAAAAGGCTCTACTTCAGATCTACAGCTAGTGATGCAACAGCCACTTGAAGAATGCTATAGTTCTGCATCAGGTAGATATCGGCATATGGTATCAGATACCTGCCAAGCGCAGCTACAATCTGGTAGATCCAAGTAAAAATGAATATCACAGGCCAGTCGCAAAAGCTTTTAAGGCATTGTTATCAGTATCAAAATTTGTTGGTCTATTCAGTTGAAAAGGATCATTGAAGTGGGGACGTTCTCGGAAACTTATGCCTCATACATCTGTATAAAGGCTCCGTGCAAACAAACCTTCGGCGCTAGCCAGCGTCAACGACTCCTGAAGTCTTTTGAGACTAATTCCTAACATAATTGTAAATCTTTAAGAGAAAGAGACGCACTTGTAGATGAAAAAGTGTATCACCACAAATGCCTCCGAAAGCTGATCCTAAATCTGCTTCTTAGCGGTTGAGTGTATCTACGAAAAAAGCTACGGAATGCTCTGAATGTATGCACCCCGAGTTCTCATAGGAAGCTGATGGACTAATTTGAATTCGCCCTCGAGTATCTCTTAAACTATCTGCCTTACAAAATAGAAAGAGGTATCGTTTCCTTTCTCATCCCCATCCTCCCCAGATCTGCATCCACGCCTTTGAGTCAGGATCATAAAACAAAACAATATCTAGTCAGTGACACTGTGAATCAAGAAAATGATCTATTTTCACACTCATGGAGCGCTGGCCATAATAAAGCTATTACCGTTTCTTCTCCAACAGGGACATAAATTTAGCATAAAAGTCGTGAAAGTCAAGAGACGGTGTAGCTGATGCACTCTCACGCGCAGATGTTCTTTTCGTTTTTGTCATTATCCAGAAGTGCTCTGTTGAAAAAAATTATTTGATTACTTCTCATTTTTCCTGTCGGAATAAACCACACTTTGAGAGAAGGCGAGTTTTGTTAGCGCGCTGGCCGCGACCGATTATGGTGCAAAAAGCCACTACTGGCAACATTCTCTGGAGTATTCTTGCCTCTATTACTCTAGTATTATGGTCGCAGTGTTCTTCGGACGACATAGTAACGAGTTGGGCTGTGTCCGGGCAGAATCCCGACAAATAAAATCTTTGCTTACCCGAGCTCATCAGTCGTGCTACAGGAAAGAACAGTGAGCGTGAAAAGATGACGCTGCCCTTTTTGCAAAGCCCTAAATTCGCGATGTGACGCAGGCCTTCCAACTTAAAAGTATGAACTTCAGACTCAGTTTGCCCGATTGCTTCAACTTAGATATTCATTGCCTCGAGCTACAGCGTATGATGCATTATTGTTCACTCCTATTCCTATTTTCCTAGAAGAATCTGTTAGTCGTTGCTATAATTTGCTTTTTACTAATTTCAATACACCATTGCCAAATGCAGTTCAGGAGCCAGTCGGACGTCGCGAGGTGCCAGAGTAATCGCTCATTCTGCGGTAGGCGCATTCAATCATACTAGTACTTCATGTGTGTTGCAAAGCAGCAAAAGTGAAAGTGCGACGTCGACCTACGATTGATCTGTTGGATAATCGCATGAAATACCCACCAACTAAACTTCTGGACTTTGCTAAACAACTTCAACTTCTACAGTGTGAGTGGGACGAGTGCAATGTAAAGTCACGCGTAGTCATAACTTTCAAGGTACCCCGCCATCGGGCACTCGATCGACTCCTATAATCTCCTTCCTTAAACTCGAAGGACCAGCTTTCATAGTGCTTCTAGCCGGGCTTCTTTCTTACAAACATCCTGCAGAAGAAATTTACTTTCGTTGGCATTACCGGTTGGATTTAAACAGCAAAGCAAGCCTGGGCAGTTATCAATTTCCCACACGCTGTTCGGGAAATTATAACGAGTCAGACAGACGAGAGCGCCATCCCATGATCAGGGTCAAGCAAGGGGTGTGGCACACGATCGCTGGTTACGACCCCCCCCTGATTGCTGCCTTAATAAGACCCCCCCCCCCCTCCCCCCTGAACTATATACCTAAGAGAGCATTACCAGAGTTGAGAAAGAGGTCAGGCACAAGTCTTTCGAAACAACCCCCCCCCCCCCTCCCTCCCATGAAAGCCCTCAAACGACCCGTTCTTCCTCCTCTTAACCTCTGGACCTCAAAGTGTGACATTCTGGAAGACACCAGCCTTTTCTAGAGAGTTTTCAGATTTCTGAGAGCTGTACGCCCGATTTTCTGTGACTGCACCTTACAATCACACGTAATTTGACGGCTGATTTTGATCTGAATGGGCATATTGAAAGGGCCATAATTTTCTTATGGGTGGGGCGTTCGGCTCCAAATTTCCAGTGTAGCAAGAAGAAGCTATGTGCTCAATACTCATACCAGCAATGGAGCGCTTTCTGGATTTTGAAGGCAAGTTAAGGGGGCGCGGCACACCCCTTTAAAAGCTGTGGCAGCCGCAGCTTTTAAGGGGGTGTGCCGCACCCCATTAACTATATCAAAAAAACATTTTTAGCGGACAGTATTTATATATATCGTTAGCCTAAACCTTGTAGATTCCATAGGACTGTTTGGAGCCTGATTCGTCTTCTTAGCTCTGAGTAATATTTGGTGAAAGCACAGCGATCAAATTCGAAAAATGGGAAAAACGAGATTTTGGTTGGCTTCTAATTCCACAGTTTGCAGGTCTTCTGAAGCGGGATTCCCGAGGTGGACAAAGAAGTAGTAGTGCTTTGTCTTCAGTGCAAAAACGGATAGCTAATTCACCTTTGAAACAAAGTTAACCATGTTGGAATTTGACCATTTCATTTAGGTAACCTAGTATCTTGAATCTTCAGAATTCGCTCACACTTTGTCTACAGGGGTTAATTGAATGCTAATTATGGGTATGACACAAATATCATGTTATCATTATTATCAGATTACCCAACTACGACCCCCTCCCCTTTTGACTCCTCAATACGACCCCCCAGGTGTGGCGTGCCGCACCCCACGCTTGACCCTGCCCATGATCTAGAAAGTTTGAGGCGCGTGGCCCAAACGGAGCAGAAACCGACCTGTCCAGAGTTTGGCTTCGTGTATCGCAGGCACCAGTGCTCACGCTTATAGGGGCCCATACAGGAACCCCTTCCCATACAAGAAATTGATGAACACCGCCCCTGATGTGAGTTTCAGAAGGCTTGAAGGCAGCGGCTTAGCAGAATGACAACTTTATTATATACTAGCTGGAATACCCGGTCTTGCCCGATTCATGAGCCACGGAGCCAGAGAAAGGAGGGGGAGCAAATATGTGTTGAGGTATGTGCATAATGCATAAAATATGTGCTCTGCTTCAAAACCTACGCCTCTCCATCTCTCATCCCGCTTCCATCTGCTGCATTCTGCCCTCCCTCCCCCCCCCCCCACCCCTTTCCTTCTCCCGTCCTGCAGCCTATATCTACTTAATGGTGCATTGTAATTGCAAATGCCTACCTCAAAACAGCATCATCTGGAGGTACCGCATCCTTCTGACCGCAAAATGAAAATGAGCTTTTCTGCTGTTGTTTACGCCAAAATGTGCAAGCGGTATGATAGCGGTTGATGAGGCTTTATTTTCATTGCTAGGTGCCAAAATTCAATAAATCGATAGGAAAACCCAGCAAATCGCCTCAAAGGATAGCCTAAAACCATCTACAGGGTCGAAAACATATATGTGCAAAGTTTCAGGTCAGCTGGTTCACGCGCAAGACCTAAAAAACATAAGGTCCAGAGTTTCAGTTGCACAAACTTTGACTTTTATAGATACATAGATTCGTATATTCGAGATATTCATCGTATACTCGGTTCCCCTAGATGAACTAAGTCCAAGACTGCGCTTTGCAGCTTCAAAATATATCAATAACCCGCTTTTCCAGACATGAAAAATGCTGTTTGGGCGGACGGCGTAAGGGATACGGCATACTTCATACTTCGCCAAAAAAGCCCAAAGCACTCAAAAAAGCCGAAAAAAGCCCAAGAGCGCCAGAAAGAGCCGGAACACCCCCTTCCGCGCGCATGTTCTGGCGATAAGGCACGCATGTTGTTTTCGCAACCGTGTCTTTGTGGTGCATTTTCTGTAGTCTGCACACCAAAATTAATCAGAATTCTACCAAAAGTTCGTTTCTGCGTCCCGGCTCTTTCTGGCGCTTTCTGGCTTTTTCGGGCTTTTTGGGGCTTTCTTGGGCTTTTCTCGGCGAAGTGTGACGGATCCCTGATCTATCCTCTAGAGCGGGATTGGCTCGTGAGTGGAGACACCGTACCCATCTCGGCGGCAATTGGATTATTGACTCCAGCGGCCACTTTCGCGACCCGCCCAGATAGCACTTTACACGTTCGGAAAAGCGAGTATTGATACCTTTGGAAGCTGCAAAGCACAGATTCAGACTCAGCTTATTCAAGGGAGCCAAAAGCGATGAATATCCCAAAGTTGTCATTCTGCCGAGCCGCTGCCTTTATATTGGGAGGGCAGTTGAAGTGGCAGTCGATTAGACAATCATATTATCTATGCTTGCCCGAAAAGCTGCTTTTGACCTATTGAATGATGGGGCTCTCGAACTGAAAAAAAAACGGGTAGCAGTATTTATTCTCTACATCCTAATCACCTTTTCTTGCGTAACAGCGAAATATTTATGAACCGTCGCTGATTCGGTGACTACGTCTAATCATGACATGCACAAATGAGCAAAGTAGCTATTAATGGCGAGAAGTGGATGACAATTGACAATCAACTTGAGCAATAATGTGACTATAACAAGTGTGGGTTAACATTAGTTCTTGGAAAAAATCCCATGTTCATTAACACTAGGATGGCAGTAAGGCGATTATGGTCAACAAATGCTGGATGGCTGGAAATGCAGAGGACCTCCGTTCTACTATTTGTACATCACACAACAAAATTTACACAAAATACTTGCGTCAGCATGGAATAGCATCATCAGGCATAACTTCAGTATCTTCCAGAATGATCCAGTAAGGGTCAATGTGGTGCACTCGCGATGTTGACGTAGTCCAAGCAGGCTTCAAGTATACAGCTGACGGACCAGGCTTGGGCTGAACAACTTGCCGGACAGGGGTTACCATTCGAGTTGGTAAGTTCGGGTAATGAACTCCATGCAGATTTCTGGAACATGCGCAGTTTCGAACAGTGCTGGACAGGTAAAAGTACGAAGTTGGTGCAGAAGTTCTGCATAAATCAAATGAAATCTAATAATTTTCCTGATTCTAGATCTAAAATCAGATCTAGAAAGAGTTTAAATTCATAATTCAGAAAAAGTTTGTGCTTTATGGTAGTAATCTAAGGCTGGGTTCATACTGATCCGCAAGTTCCTGAACAGTTCCAGCACAGCGCACAATTCAGCCGCTTGCTGGGAATTCCGGAATTTACGGATCAGTATGAACCCAGCCTAAGGTGACTTTTCGTTGTTTAGCGCTTTGAGTTTGGTCATAAAAAATACTAAACTAGCTAGCCCTAAAATCAGGGCTCGGCACGAGGTGGCTAGATGAAAATGGAAAAAACGAAGTCCCTTTTGACCCCCCACCATATTCCCTAAAAATTCCCCAAAAAACGAAACGTCGACTAAAAAGTTGCCAAGTCGCCAATTTTGCCTCTCTTCGGCCACAAAAACGAAACCCCCTTTGCTTTTCGTCCCAAAAACGATATCCAGCTTGCTTGTAAGCCACCTGCGCCGAGCCCTGCCTAAAATGAATCTGCAAAAAAAAATGAAATTTTTTGTTTCGTGAAAAAACTTTCGTGAAAAATGCTCTTGTGCAGGAAAAATCCCCATTATACTGCACTCTTTTTTCAAAAACAATTTGAGGGCCAAAAAACGCCACGATACTTTAGCAAAGCAATGGGCCAAATTTCCGTCTCGAGCTCTGTTTTTGCAAAGGGCGGCGATAATAAGAGCATTTTCTCCGCAGAATGGAAATACGGATTCTTTGTTTTTGAATTTTTTAACAAGATCAAAGCCTGCGACATCGACGCATGGACAAGCTATGTAAGATTCTTGCAGATTTCTGGGTTAGCTAGAGTTACTCTAGTATTTTTTTCAGACTGAAAGTCACGAGTTTCTTTAGCGCTAAGCAACGAAACGTCAGGCTTGAATAAATATCGTAAAGCGCGAGCATTCTTTCCTCCCATGAGTATAAACTCTTGAATTTGGCTTTAGGATCAAGAGAGTCATTGAATTTCGTTGGAATTACGCAATAACTCTTGCACCAACCCTATATATTCATACCTTGATTTCTCGATAGTAGTTTCCTAGCCTTGACTGGACTTCCTTTCTAGCCGATTGCCATTCTGACCCTCCAAGAATGTTGCCAATAGCGAGGCGTGCACGCAAATAGTATCCAGCCACCCAAACCCATTCCTAAAGATATGTTCTTGTAATTTTTTTTCTATAACAGAATTTGGTAGTTCACACGCTGATTTATCAGGGCGGAAAAGTCAAAAAATGAGGAATTTAAAATGACTGAATCAATTAGTCCACATTTGGGCATATAAGCAACTAATAAAATGTTGTTACACTCACAGGTCCTTGGTGATAGTTCCATCCACATGCGGTCTTTTTATCGCATCCATCGTCATTATAATAATCTCCGTTATATGCCCAATCACTACAAAACGCATGAATGTGTGTGAACTTTCAAAATTTTTTTTACTAACCTGGGGTCAAGTGTTTTGATTCCTAATGGTCCTAGCAGATACTCTCTAGCGGCTTCAAGTGCCAACCAAGCTTTATGAGGTTCCACCAACGTTGGCGCCTAATTACCAATTCTATTGCAACGACAAAGGGAAGAAATTAGAAAAGTTACCGTAGCCAAAGCGATGGTGAAGTTCGGTCTCAACTCATAGTCACTGTATCCAAGTGAGGAACCAACGGTATCTTTCAATATGTTCCTCCTATTGGCGTGTTTACTGTCGTCATGTTCATTCAAGTAGAACTGGGGCTCAAAATTTGCTTTGATTTTCTCGGCCCATTCTGACCAGCTCCAATTTTCAGAATCTGATGATAGGCAATGTAAATTTTTTACAGTACAAATAGACTATCACTACCCTTACCATGTGATACCCCGCTTTGGCTTATTAATCCTCCATTGGACCACTCTGCCATAGCACAGAGAATGTTGTATGCCAAAGCCTGCAACTCTACAGCTGCTCCATCACGAGGGGTTGCAGGTTCTCCTCGGTTTCCTGCCTAGAAACAAAAAAGTGTTAACTTTCGCCGCGGGGCTTTCTGCATATACATACAAAATGGGATATTTGTACAGTAGTCATAGGATCAAGTTAGTGAAATTGAACTATCCTGATGTTTTGTGGAAATCTTGGTAGAAAAGATCTTGCCATTCAGATCTTCTTACGTAAAATCCAATAAAAAATTAGCTCTCCACCTTTTCACTGCTTCCCATCTTGTCCATCCACGTACCGCAGTTCCATCTGTTACCACCGTGAATAAACCCAGTATTCCGATCCACATATGCTTTCACGTTGAAGCCTACAAATGTTGATGTCATAAATTTCACAACTGGTAATCTTATATATAAAGCTGAATGTCTGTTTGTATGTATGTATGTATGTCTGTCTGTATGTATGTATGTGTGTACGTATGTTCCGAATAGAAAATTCCATTTCTGAACCGATCCGGACCAAACTTGGCACACATACACTACGGGCCCCGGCGGGTGTCATAGGCTACTTTTCGTCATCGATCGATATCGATTTTATCGATTTTTATCGATTTTTTTGCTGAGTTCACCTACGGGGCTGGGAGTTGGCACAGGGGGGTAATCGAGCATGGGGATTCCGAATACAATATTGGTTTTCAGGATTATCGATTACTTTTATCGATTTTATCGATTTTTTTGCAAAGTTTGAGCTACGGGGCTGGGAGTTGGCACAGGGGGGTAATCGAGCATGGGGATTCCGAATAAAATATTGGTTTTCAGGATTATCGATTACTTTTATCGATTTTATCGATTTTTTGCAAAGTTTGAGCTACGAGGCTGGGAGTTCGCACAGGGGGGTAATCGAGCATGGGGATTCCGAATACAATATTGGTTTTCGGGATTATCGATTACTTTTATCGATTTTATCGATTTTTTGCAAAGTTGGAGCTAGGGGGCTGGGAGTTGGCACAGGGGGGTATTCGAGCATGCTGATCATCCCCAAGGGGGGTGATCAGCATGCTCGATTACACCCCTGTGCCAAATTCCAGCCCCCTAGCTCAAATTTTCAAAAAATCGATAAAATCGATAAAAGTAATGGACGATCTTGAAAACTAATATTGTATTCGTAATCTGCATGCTCGATTACCCCCTGTGCAAACTCCCAGCCCCGCAGGTCAAACTTTACAAAAAAATCGATAAAATCGATAAAAGTAATGGACGATTCTGAAAACTAATATTGTGTTCGTAATCAGCATGCTCGATTACTCCCCTGTGCAAAATCTCAGCCTCGCATGTCAAAATTTACAAAAAATCGAGAAAATCAATAAAAGTAACCGATAATTCTGAAAACTAATATTGTATTCGGAATTCCCATGCTCACTTCCCCCCTGTGCCAACTCCTAGCCCTGTAGGTGAACTCTGCGAAAAAATCGATAAAAATCGGTAAAATCGACATCGATCGATAACGAAAAGTGGACTGTGACACCCGCCGGGGCCCGAAGTGTATGTGTGCCAAGTTTGGTCCGGATACGGCGGAGCCGGGTAAGCCAGCTAGTATTTAGTATAGACAACCTTTCTGGGGGTAGCGTGAAAAGGAGAATGCCCCGAAGCAAATTTACATCGCATACTACCGTAATCAAAGGCGAAAAAGGAAACCTTCGCAAGCGCTCTCTTTATTTCATATGCTTTCTGGTGGAAACTTATAAGAACTCCATAGCAAAGTCATCGCAATCCGAAAGTTGACAAGTTACGGCAGCAAAACGTAGCAGTGCAATATCAGGTCAATGAAACTTTCGCTCGTGTTTCAAAAAAGTATGCACAGTAACATCAACAATCCGAAACTCTACCCTACAATTTGTAACTTCCTTTGCACAACACTGCTCACCTTCCTCTTTCATATGCTCGTCGATCTCGAATCCAGCATTTCGTTCTCTAAAATCAATTCCTGCGAAGTGTCGACTCAGTGCTTCGTACATAACATCGATCAAAGGTTGCTCCTAAATAAAATTCTTTGTGCTCTGCATAGAACCCTAGCCAGCTGAGTTTTACCCGTGCATCTTCTCCGTATATGACGTCATCATCAGGATAAATTCGCAGCACAGGGCACTTCAAAATCTCATGTCCTTCCGGAGCTAGCCGTACATAGCGCTCAATGGAGTACAACCAGAACCAGACAGCATCACGGCAATTGTAGCGAGCACCTGAAAGTAATCTAAGTAAAATTCAGCGTAAAAAAGCCAAAAAATTCTCAGCTCAATGTGCTCCGCAAGGACTGAGTCACGAATACAACCTTCAAAACAAGCGGAAAACTCTTCCAAACTGTTGAAGTTGGGGAAATTCTAACAGAACTTACGACTCACCCTTCCCTTCGGCAAGGAGGTTTGGTATCAATCCATGCCTCAGACATCCAGCATAAGAAATTATAATGTTTCTGGAAATAGAAATGGCTTGAACTGACAAGACATAGTTCATTTTTTCCGTACACTGACCTAGCATCAGAAAACCGTCCAGTCCTCAAAAGGCATCCAGGCAGAGCTATGAAAGTGTCACGTCCCCAGTTGCGCCAAATGCCGACGGCAAAGTGTGGAAGTCCTAAAAATCCAGCCTGAGTGGCTAAAAACCTCATTAAAATACGGTACCTGCAGCAAGTGAGGATGGATATCTGTCTTCCAATTTGATTGCCTTCGGAAGAGGAGCCAAAGCAGCGGAGGAAACATGACCGACGAAAGATACGGATGATACAGCCAGAGCTCGAACCAGGGATGAAGATCCGGTCAAATTGCTGGATCTATTTGATAATATTGGCTTTGAAGATAAGCACAAGAGATACTTACGCAGATAGTTTCTTCATCAAAGCTTTTCTGCACTGTTTGTACAGATACGTGATTATAGCTTCAAAGTAACATGGACGTAAGTAGTACGGCACATCAGTCAAATGTCCGAGAATTGCGGAGAAGAAGGCGGACAACTGAAAAGGAGCAAAAAATTGAAGAACTTGAATCGCGAGAAAATGCCTACTCACGAAGATTAGGCCCTCATATTTCTCCATACGAGACCAAATATAATCAGGGAGCCATGTGCCGTCACGAAGGTTGCCACAAAGCGGATGGCCAAGATCGTTATGTTCACGAATCCAGTTCAGCAAAGGAATTAGACCTATAAAAAATCCAATAGGGACCCAGAGGATGGACGAAACTGATTATACGAGTTGTAGAATTATGCAGGAATTTGTTATATATTTGATTAATAGCAATTACTTTCAAAATGAAAAATCAGAACCGTTAAAAAACGGAAAAAACGAAAACGGTTAAAAAACCATTTGGATCTCGTGCTCGTAAAACTTCCTTTTTTTTCAAAATTTTAGAATTATGAACTTGCGATTCAGACAAGCTCCTAGAAATTCTCATGAAAACGCGGTAGGCCACCCTCTAGATATTTCCTTCTTTCCTTTCTCGCTCCTTCCAAAACTAGGAAAATTCGTGGGGCATTCACTGTGTTAAGTTACATGGGAAAATCCGTTTCAAACTCAAAAGACATCGCAGGCGGAAATACTAGAAAATTTCGTTTGGCCATCGGCCAAGCTCCTTTTGGATAACTATTCCACAAGTCAAACTGAAGTGGAAGTTTCTTTGCTGCTTTTATACCAAGACAATTTCTGGGACACATCTCATTAGGTTCACTAATTTCACTGAAGCTGACCTTGCAAGCCGCAATACACAAGCTTTCCATATCCAGGAATTTCGTAAGCTCCACGGCCAATCGAAGCTTGCTCTTCTTCCTCCGTCATAAAGAACAATCTATTGTAATCTTGTAGCGAGATCGTCTCCAACACATTGGCCAGCTCTAAAATTCATAATGAACACTAGCTGCCAACAAAAATGCTTGTCTAACAGAATTAGACAACAAATATCTACCAAATCACGAGGAACAAAGACGAACCACGCTCAAGCTCGTCATTTCCGGCAATCACTGCTCTGATAGTGGCTATTGCTGCGCGAGCCTTGTGCGAGAGATGAATCCTGCACAGTACTGTTTGGTAGAACTACTGTAAGATTACGGTAAAGGTCATCACCTGAACGCAATCACCGAACCACTTGGGAATTCTGTCAACTCTATAAAGCCGTTTTCTTCTCCGTGTACTACGCACATTTTTGCGTGGTCAGGTAACACGCGTTGACGAATAGATACTTTGTAGTTTGTAAGGCCCAAAAGATAATCGTCGCTTTCTAGAAAATTCTGGTATTTGGCCCTGTGAGGTAAAAAGCTTTGCTTTCTTACCCGGCTTGGTCTCGTTCTCCACTTGGTCCATGCGCATTTCGAATAGGATCTCTTCCAGTACACCTAGAACCACAGTAATAATTTTTCTCAAAAAATCAAGTTACCCTCACCTCCTATTGGAATATGTCTCAGGTAGACTCTATCTCTGTTTATGGCATGTTTATTGAAAGCCGTATGTGCGACCACAACTACGGTATCATGAGTCACAGGATTGTGCCTCGTGATACCAACAACATCGGGACTCATTTGGTCAACGAAAACCTAAAAAAGGAAGTTTTTATCTTTCGTCTACATAAATTCTTGGTTCCAGCAAATTTTCTGATACCTAGATTTTGTTACGTGGATACCTAGTGGGAAGCCTTAGGGACAATTAATTGACAATTAATTAATTAATTGACAATTCGACCTTACTCGCGACAATTCGTACGATTCATTCGTGACCAAAAAGTTCGGCTTTGAACTCCTATCCAGACCGTACCTCTCCGACCAATCAGCATCCTCGCGTAGGTACCAATTATGGTCTAGCTAGAGTTCAGGGACCAGTTCTCAACTACGTATTAATCAAAAAAGCTTTCGTTTAAAAAATGGCTAACCTACATAAGGCTTCCCAATCATTTTCCACATACTTTCAAGTATCCAGATTTTCGTGGAAACTGATTACTAACAATAAGGTAAACGCAATGAGCGAACCTTACCTCTGTATAATGAGCTTTTGCCAAGATAACATGCAAATCGTTCAAAATTCTTCGTGCTTCCACTATGCCAGTACTGAACTTGGTTTCGCTTCCCCATTTTGCGTAAGGTCGATGTTCGGACACAACGTGAATCTGATAATAAAACGATTGCCAAAGAAAAAAACCATCAAGGAAGGGAAAAAATTTCTTGCATTCTTCATTCTATGGGCCCTCTCGCCTCATAGCGATACCGTGAGCTCGTAGAAATTAACAACGGTACGCCCGCTACTGTCTGACATGGGTGAGACAAATAGGGAGATCATATTCGCGCAATTTCCTAAGCGCGCGGATTACGGCAGCATAATATAGCGGTGTAAATAGACCTAATCTCTGGATGGAAGTTTGTCATGTGCAAGATGGACAAACATCAGAAAAAAAGGCAAACTGGCAGAAGGTACATGACTTACTGCATGTCTGACCAGCTCGTCGTAACCTCTAGTGGATCCTACAGCACAGGAAGCCATTGACACCATTGCAGCAGTTGGAAGGAGATCGTAGACAGAGCGAGTCTAATTGGAATCACCTTGATTTCGAAGGCAAGCTGTACTAGTATAAGGGGTGTCACCTCTATCGGTGTTGGATTGTCATGACTTTGATCCAAGAAGAGCCCATGAGCATTTGAAGCTGGAGCATAGCGAGTTGGTCTTTGGATCATAGCACCAACCACATCTCCACCATACCTAGAAATCGAAACATAATGAGACAACTTACAAAGATTTAAACCCAGCTTACTTGTATACGAGTCGTCCTTGCTCGTGACTGTCATGCGCGGCTTGGGCTTCTGTAACGATGGCTTAAAGATAGTAGAAAAAAAGTACGGACAACTCACCTCTAATCAAGGAAGAGATGCCAAGCCTGTTGACAAACATGTTGTCTTTATTTTCACTGCCAGTGAACAGTTCTGCGAACACATACAAATCTGGACGAATCTCACGAGCTGCCAATATCAAATACTGAAAAACAACAAGACATTGATCCTGATTTTGCATCAATTAAAGTGAGATAAAATACAGGGTATCCATTGGAAAGTGGCATTTCAACCCAACTACAGCTTTGCTTTCAAAGTTCATTGGTGATTTAGTGACTTTTTGGGAAACTGTTTTGTAGATTTAATTTGGTATTTCCAAATCAATACAAGAATCAGTGGAAGGTTGTTATACGAGGCTCAAAGGAATGAGAAATAAGATTTTTTGAAGTGTAAGGTGAATACGTGTTTCTCTTATACGGTTGCTTTTGTATTATTATTTTTAGAGTATGGAAGTTTGATTTTTCAAAATTATAGATTCCGTGCTATTTGAGACCGGTGTTTTCAGTAATTTATTTTTTTACAGATGCTTAGATGACTATCACCGGTTCGTAGACCATCCAAGAAACCAAAAAAGAATTTTATGGCGTTGATCCCGAAAACTCAGATAAAGCTCAGAGTCGGACCTTTTGCGAAAAAATCAAAGAAGAAAAACACCAGCGTACCTCAGCAACATGGATAGGGGTGCTGTGTGCATTGTCGATACGCAAACCATGGAAAACTCGAGCGCATTCTTGCCTGAACACCTTCGTTGTGTCTTAGACTTTTCTCGTAGAAAAGATAAACTTACGAATATTCTTTCATATAATTCCACAGGAATGGACAATCATCAGGTTTATCTCCGTAGTTCAGTTTTACAGAATCACCCCAACAGACTAATTCGCGTCGGAGGTAAACCTGAAAACATTCGCATCAGATTGCATGGACTCAAATGAGTAAAGACTGACCTGAGAATCAGGCAGAGCGAAGTTCTTGAGTGGATCGTAAGCCATGACCCATCCATTGAAAGCCATGAGATATTTCGACTTTTCCGGGTCGTACGCCAGGTGCTCTTCTTGCTCCCACGATGTCACATCCTCCAGATGCAAGAAGTAACTTCAAAAGACATACATAGCCATCACAAAAAAAATTTCATATACTGTATGGAATTTCTTGTAAAAATCGCTATATATCAAGTAAAAAATACTGCAGTAATGAGCTCAGTACAAGGCTTAGCAATGATTTGTTTTGGAGAAAAAATTGAACAAAAATTCCAAACAAAAGTGCTATTAATTATGGACCCTTTTTGAACCGAATTCTCATATCAATCCAATTCAATTTGTTCAAAATTGCAGATAATTGGCACCAAAATTAAAATGCATACTCTGTGGTAAGCGGATGCTTTTGCGTGACGGCTCCATATTTCGGACCATCATCAGCAAGTCGCTGATATGTAATGTGGCCCATAACTGCACGCAAGCCAGCCAAAACAATTTCCCAGGCATATTTACCAGCTAAAATATATAAAATATTTGAGATGTGATTGGAATTGGAGGAACACTATACCTTCTTCGTTCAGATAATTCAAATGATAGCGGAATGCTGCGATGCATTTTTCGATTCGTTCCTCTTCTGAAGAAGCGTCATCCCTGGACATAAAAAATCATAAAATTCATAATTCCTTCCAGAAAATCCGAGTTCCTTTACCTAGGTCTATTGAAAATTTTCGAAGCCTTATCAAAGTCAACGGTGCTTCCAAATCGCCTCCATTCTGGATCTTGTTGTATGGGGAGGTTCTCATTGAGAATTTCGGATGATGCGCCAGCTACAAAAGATTATTTACTGGGTTTACTGGCTATTTATTGGCTGAAACTTAGCAACGGCGAGCAGACCTCTTGCTATTTCCTCAAATCTTCTCATACATTCGTCAACATTTACTTGGAAAAATTCGTGCAGACGTATGGCAGGTAGAATTTCCGTACGAAGGATGTACTCAATAGTCTAGAATCAAAAAATTGGATAAATCAACATCACAACTTCCGCGATTTTTCTTGCATAAAAAAGCTTCTAATTTACAATCTTATAATCAATCAAGCTTATATGAATTGCTCGAACACTAAAAATTGCAGCAGGGAGCCAAGTTCTCCGTAAAAGAGTAAAAGTAGAGACATTTCGCAAAATTTCAAGAATTTTTCAGTTTGGACAAAATAAACTAACATTTGTGTGGTGCACAGAGTCTACAACCTCTGGAACTCCTCTGTACTGCCATTTACCTTCACCAATCTCCTTTCCAAAGTGGTGGTAAACTCTAAAAGCATCCGAAAATAAACTCAGAGACCATAAGAAGAACACTGCATACCTATCCACTACGTAAGCAGGTCTGAGATGAGGACTGTTCAGACAATTGTAGGCACATTCGGGATGCTCCTGATATTGCAAAAATCAATTACGAAATTTTCTATGGAGCAAAAAGTGTAATTTTCAAAGAAGCACGAATAAAAAAAATGAATATGGGATTTCATAGCAGCGCCATAATTCTCAAAGCTGCTCAGCCATGGTCTATTCTGTCTGCTTGTTACTAGGTGTGAAGTAATTGAAAACAACTTCACAGAGCTATATCACAGTATTAGTGACCATACGGCATACTTACATAGGCTGTTGATTTCACACAGTAGATAAAAATTATTTTGACCAAGAGCTAAGAGAATTTGAGATAAAGAAATCATGAAAGTCATGAAATTTACTTTGAAACTAATGGGTTAAAAAGCTGAGATTGAAACTGTCGTTCGGCGTAGACTCACCATCAACCACTGTGCATTTTTTGCGGCATGATTCCAAACAACATCCTGTACAGTCAGCATTTCCCACTCTCTTTCAACTTTAGTCACAAAATCCGACACATCTTTCATCGTTACTTGTCGATCTGGCTAAAATTCTTACTTTAGGGAATTAATCTCTCTGATATCACTGGTTACCTCATGGATTGTTTTGATCAAAGCATGGTGATTACTGATAGAATAGGCACTGTCCGATACTCCGAGCTCATGTACAGGTGTTAGATGGATCATATTGTAGCCGCTTTCTTTTGAGACTCGAAGTCGTTGCTCCCAGCATGACAAGGGGCCTAAGAAAAATCAATATAGAATAAATTAGAAATTATGTTGCAGGTAAGGCCTCATGATTAGAATGGCAATTTGGAATCGGAGAGAATCGAGGAGGAAAGAAATTTCAAAACACAATCTAACAAATTAATAAATTGAAAGTAAAGATACAAAGTGAGAGAAGATATTTTTTCCTAGATAAAGGTACCAAGTATTGAAATTTTTGCATTGATATCAAAATACCATAACTTCCTGGAAAGACTGAACAAGTCCCGATTATTTCTTAAGTAAGGGTTGACAGCGAAGAATTTACAAGAAACAACAAAACAAACGACAAGATTCTTTTTATTCTGGGTTTCGTTTTCAAAATCTATTATTCAATTAGAGTTAAGTGTTTGACAGCTTTACGGACAAGAATTTAGGTTTCTTCTACACATTAAGAAATTTTTATTACGCAACCAAATCACAGTTCATTTTTTCGTCTCCAGACCCATTCACCCACAAACCTTCTCACTTTTTTTTCTATTTCAACGAACAGAATCCAAAACATTTGCTACGCCTGTCATATTTCATTGGCAAGCACATCTTCATTTCTTGCCCTTCCGACTTTACAAAGCGATCTACAAAGAAGTAATCGGCAAGTTCACAACTGCAGAAAAAACTAGTGTACTACACTGGACTATGATTAATGCGCCACTACTGCAGCGCTGGTCATCGAGCAAAACACTGTCTGCACTCTACAACTGTTTAGTCTTTTTGCAATAGAGAGGGGAGAGGGGGGGGGGAAGGAACGAATGGTGCAACATGATAACTTTCTCAGTTCTGTTAGAATTAACTGTTTTTGATAATCTTCCACTTACTACGCTAATCTGACATATTTTCTGCAATAGGCATATTGGGGAAGTCATGTCGCTTCAGAAGGACAATACCAAAACCAATATATCAGGTCTACTCTCACGCCTTGCATGAAACATATTTCTAAACGCAATACAAGCTAATCTTCTAACAGATTTTGGTAAAAAACTTCTTTCAGTGATGGTAGTAGAAGGCTTCAGATGAGAGCCGGTTTGAGGTGGGACCATGAAACAATGGTGACTTTTAATCGATATATCGATTTTCTAAGCTACATCGATAGCCATACCAATCAATTCTAGGTCTTGATAGCACTTATACGTTCAAGTATTGCGTTAACATAGATAACCGAATAGTCGCAGCTCGACACGATTAAGCCGGCGAGCAGAAGTCAAATGTACTAACTCCTGCCTCATTGAATGCCACAATAGCAAACAAAAATCTCTTTGATAATTCTACTCTCAATTCATAAGTGAACATTTGTTCCCGATTACAATCTCCTGTTTTCTTTCCGCGCCCTGCCGACTGCTATAAAAATTTGTCATCTAGTTTTTAGCATCCTTATCAACTCGATCTGTGAAAGAAACTTTCTGTTGTACTGTTTATCAATAATCTTCTTTGGAACAGCAGTTGTCGACTAAGCTTCTGCGCTTGCAACATTCCAAAAAATTAGCGAATCAGTCAGATCAGAGCGCAGTTCAGAACTATTCGCATCAAAAATAAAAATAAAACAGTTAGACAAGGCCAATTTGCCCACCTTATTTTTGCAAAGCAAAAAACAGAAGGAGCCAAGGTAACGAAACATTGAATGGGCTCTTCAATGCAAGTTGTATTTTTTTCTGAGCCCATTTGCTTGGGCGCCAATAAAAGCGAAGAAAATCTAACCAAACGTTAGATCTTAAAATAAATTCAAATTGTTGTCTCCACAGCGATCCCGTCACGCTGGTAACAAACAATTATTTACACTGCCGAAGAACGAGGGGTATGCAATAAAGTAGCGTACAAATGTTCAAAAAACCCGAGCCACCCGCTGTGCATTTCAATTAAATTTATCGCTGCGCAAACAAAAGTACGTCGTAATCCGTGCAGTAAGATAACGGGCAACTGAACAAAAAAATCAGTTCTCCGTGCCTTTTCAGACGTGGTGAAAAAAAAGGTGATATACTGACTTGCATCCAGCCAGCACAATTCGTAAAAAAAATCCTGCAGGACCAACAGAAGCTTCTTTTTTTCCGCGAGACAGGCAACACAATGGCGTGAATCACTACTGTCGGGAGCAAAGTGATAAAGTGTAATGAGAACACGTACTCCGAATTACTCTGCTGTCAGAATAGCGAGTTCCGAAAGTAGTGCACATAATATTCATGAGAATGAAAATAGATTATGCCAGTAAGCCCACGTAAAGAAGAGAAAAAGAAAGCATAAAAAAACAAGCACAGCAGCCACTAAGTTCAAATCATCTTATCTCCAAGCCCCCAAAAGCATAGTGGATACCTATAGCCATTTTTCAAGTTAAGCTTGTTCCATTCGATTCAACCGCATACACAGTCAATTTCTTCGCAAAATTGTGCACTGCACAACATGCGCGATATTCCACGACATGTGACCTTACAAATTGACATTTAGAGGAGATTTACCTGTATTTCTTCTCTTTATGAGCAAAACAGGTAAGATGATTGCAAACGATCACTTGTTGGAATTATTCTTATCAGAACAGTTTCTACTGACTGTCTGGTAGTAAAAGTCATGAGATGCCGCGCGCACGCAGTGAAATCTCACCTACTGAAATACATGTTCACAGAAAAATTCCTCTCTGCATTCTCTGCTACAGATCATTTGCAAGCAGCGAACGTAATGTGATGCAAATAGGATGAGCAAAAAAAAGATGACCTGAGCAACTGCAAAAAATTGCATAAAAATGGCCATTTAATGTCGAAGTTGGGTATCGAAATATAGGTGCAAATGAAACCTGTTGTCACTCCCATTAATGTAGAAAACAAGGTTCAAAGACAGTCGAAGACAGTTCAAGATTTGCTAGGCTAATGAAAACCTACCCAATAATTTTGTAAGATGTGTTTGGCAAGCAATTCCGTCCATAGGTAGTCGTTTTCCATTTGTGGCCAGTGTAGGCATAACAAGAAAATAGCCACTTCCACATTCCCTAAACAATACGGTGATATAAAGTTGGCTGAAATATAATTTCGATTATTTGCGAATTTACGAAAATAATGCAGATAAATTTCTTGACGGGTTAACAATAGGAAAGAACGATACAAGGAGAATGAAAGCTATCTATTTGAATTTTGCTCGAGAGGCGAGACAAATTTTTTTCAAAACAAAGTAGTTATAGCTCTACGAATTTCCAGCACAGCATGAAAAAACTTACTGAAAAGTATTTTTAGATAACAAGCCATATTGGGCATAATGAAATTTGAAAATACCGACAATGCTAAACAGTTGATAAATGGTGATAAAGGCTTGAAATGGCTTCTAAAAAGATAAGGCTACCTCAAAGTGATAGCGAAACTCCCCCCCCCCCCCCCCCTCCCCTCCCCCCACTCCCAATTTTTTGTTGAGACTATCCAATTCCAGGTTTACTTACTCTCCATCAGCAGTAAATGTATATTTGAATGATCCAGCAGTTGTGCATTCCACTTGACAGTATGCAGCCAGATGATCTGTGCCTTCAGTCCAATTCAAAGGCTCGTGTCCTGTCAAGGTCGTACGAATCTCTACATCGACTCCGAGCAAAGAGCTACCACGATGAAAACGAACAAAATGTCCTAAAAACCAAACTCAGCATTTTTCTCACTTCTACCTACTATCTGTCACCTTTTTCCATCCGTCGAACAATAGTCTCTAGATGTTCGCCTCTCTCCAACACGATAATGCGCACCTGGGGATAATTGCCTTCCGCCATTTCGGGTAAGTCACCTAAATGTCACAAAAATTGCACTAAGGTAATTCGAAAGAAAAAGTGATAGCAGTCAAGCTCATAAAGACACGGAATGCTGAGCGAAAGGGATATTTTGGAACTATGAAGGTCTAAATATATTGCTTTCGACAAGGTCATCGAAAAGACAGCCGAAAACCCATTTTCTATCAACTTTCTTTTGCCGAAGTATGACAAAAACGTCAAGGATAAACTAGCAATGGCAAAGTTTTTTAGACTTTCTCTTTGGCTTTTCTATGGTTCATGCCCAAAAGGTAAAACCGACAGAATCTCACAAAAAAATTTTTTGAGCTGCATACTACCGCAATTAAACCATGTAGGGTATATACTATCCCAATCATACACTTTCTTTGTTGTGATTACTCTCTGTAATTCAAGATGATCATTTCTGAAGATAGGATTTGCAGACTTCAGTACGTATTATATTCGACCCAGAAGTTTTTAAATTGGACCGCACCGTGAATATGGTCATCCTTGGCTCAGAACCCCTTCAATGTCTATACCATAATTCAACCTTGAAATACTCGAGAAAAAAATTTCCGACCTTTTGAAGCCTTCACCGGGACAAAATCTGGGCCATGACGGCTCAGATCGCTTCGAAGGTCTTACACCGTAACTCTACAGTAACAAAAAGCTAACGTTGATTCTTCCTTTCGCTACAAACATTTTACAAATACTTTCAGGAAAGAGACAACTAATGTATGAAATAAACTTTGGAAAAAAGATTTTGATAACCAATGAGCAGCCACTGTTTTGGACACCAACAGCAGATAAGCAAGGTAAGCAATGCAGTGAGCAACGGGTGCACACAACACACCTATTAGTGTCCTCTACCGCTCTTCCACCTTCCACACTCGAAAAAAGAGGAGATTGAGAAAGTGCAACAGATAAAGAACGGAAGAAGTTGAGATGATAGCGGGCAGCTGACAATTGAAGCAAAGAATGGTACTGATACTTCTTCGCTCGTACTTTACACATTTTACACAACAAGAATAGCAATTATACGCTTTTCTCTCGATGGTCCATCGAGAAAATACAGTTAACTGCCAAGATGGCCAGGCCTCTCGTGAGCCCAAAACATATCAAATAGTCTCATCTCAAAAGTGAAGGTGTAAGGGGTAGTAAATAAGGCAGAGTACAATAATGCTCGTGATTGTGAAAAAAGACGCACAGTCGCCCGATTCATGCGACATCACCGCAGCGTGGCCATATCTCGCTTCAGAGTGGAAGAATTCTGAATTCAAGGGCACCATTCAACTCACAAGAGAAAGAAGGTTGATCGAAGTAGCCTTTTAGGATGAGATGTAAACCGTCCTATGGAGCTTGGAACGCTAATTCCAAATCTGCCTTCGCTATTTGCTGCGGGCTCCTGGGCGAGGAGATGAAGCTTTTTGTGAGTAAAGAGCCAAATGCAAGATTAGTGTAAAATCACTCGTAAAATTTTTTCTAGGGCTTAACTGATAGTCGGGTCACTCGGTGAAATTTTTAGTTCAAAAATACTAATTCGCTTCTCCCTTATCTGAACGTCAAGAAAAGGTTACGATTGATTTTACACTGATCTTGCATTCAAATTTTTATCCACAAAAACCTTCATAGCTCCTCGACCAAAAGCCCACAGCAGATATCAAAAGTACATATGGAATCAGAGTTTTAAGCTCTACAAGATAGTGCACATTTCATCTCAAAAAGCCACTTCGACCAACCTTCCTTCCCTTGTCACTCGGCGCAGCGCATCTTCTAGTTTATAGAAGTGCCCTTTTGGGCTCTTTGGAACAGAGGCCAGATGCTACGCATCGTTTCAGATTCTTGCTTACGGTAGGTGCCAGGAGTGCAGTGAATAGGAATACTGAGTAACATACCGTAAGCAAAAATCTGAAATGATTCATGGCATCTGCCCTACTTTGTCAGAGAAGGCACTTCTATATATCAGAAGATGCGTTGTGCCGAGTTGAGTCAAATGGGGCCTTTGGAATAATAAGCCATCCACTTTGAAGCGAGATATGGCCAGCTACGATGATGTCACATGAATCGGGCGATTGTGCATCTTTTTTTCGCAAATCACGAGCGTATTGTACACACTGAAGAAAACGTAAACCAAATAGGTCTTCCAACTACGTGACTAAATGTCGAGTGGTAGTTGACTATGCATTTTTGGGGCGATTTACGCTAGAAAAAAGTTCACTTTACAAAAACCTCTTAATGCCCTCTCTTGCAATAAAAGACGTGCAAGTTTGCAAACTGAAGACTAGCCAAGCAAAAAACGTTCAAGGAACACTTGGAGAGCCACAGGTCAATGAAGCACGGAACAAGAAAGGAACTTTTTGGTAAACTGAGGTTTGATGAAATTAAGATTGCCACTGAACCCCTATTCCCAATTCATCCTCATTGTCTGCTCAGCCACTCTGCAAGAAAATAGTTTCCGCCCATAACTTTAGGTTAAGCTCAATCAAAAAGCTATCAGTACAATGTTTGCGTTCAACCAGATTAACTGCACTGCTGTTCTTTTTAGATGCTCATGACTCATGGCACAATCCTAATCATCTATCAATGCAGATTTAGCTAGAAAAAAACTGGCATAGCCTCCCACAAAATCTTGCTCAGTAGGTAAGAATATGTTACATCAAGTCAGATCTTAAGAGGTCTCCGAATATCATTACAAATGTCATGAATACCTCTTGAATGAGGAAAAGGAAGACATCCCACATCACCTTTTTCATAAACATTAGCGAATCTCTACCTCTTCCCAAAACCTATTTCGCTTCTATTTCCAATAGCATATAAAAAAACCCTTTGCTGAACACAGTAAAAAAATTCCAGTCATCAAATTTCAGCCCGGCTACTTTTCTCCTCCACCTTATCGACAACATGCTGTAAGGTTTCTAAAAATGGATTTCAAAAAATGCAGCCACCGTTTGACAAATGTTCGGTTGCTTTATTGCCTCAATGTTATAAACAAGTCGCCCGAAAGTGCCATAAAAATGCTCTCAATTTAGTCTCAATTGTGATACAGAACGAACCGTATCGGTTTTCAGCAAAATCATGTTAGCTGTAGTTTTGCACTATTAACAAAAAATTTTGGGAGCATTGGAAATTAGATTGGATGTGTAATTCAAGAATAAACAATCTAGTAATTTATGATCTAGAACTCTTGAGATCTACCTTGACTTTTAGAGAAATAAGCATAGTGAATTTTGGAACTGCATGTAACTGCAACGATGTCGAAGAATTATAAAAGTGACCATAATCCAGCAAAGACAATCCTTTGATTTCACAAGAGATTCTGGCTGGAAGCCCTTTTAATACAATCCGAAAAAAGTACTGCTCAAGGTTGATATCCGGACACTAGAAGAAGCAAATAGGCAAATATTTGGTTGGAACTGCGTTCGCAGAAAGAGCAGTTCCAGAAACATCTCTTTTAACGATTTCTGTCTCCAAAGCCCCGAACCAAGGATCTATTTATGTCACAAATTCCAGAAAGATTTACATAAAAATGTGAGCTGCCCCATCAAAAGTGTCTACCAAGATGAATGATAGCTGCAAATAAACACAGTATTCCTGTGGTTGTCATGCCACTCAGATAGTCTTTTTTGGAGTAAAATGGAGTGCAAGAACACTAAGGCCCATTGAGCTTCCAGCACTTCTTCTCAAGTTAAGCCATTACCGCGTGAAAATGCAATTTGAGAAAAATTTACGCTGGGCAAAGCTACCGTTCATGTAGGCTGCTCTCTCTCCCCCATCTCACAATGGAGGTTCTCCAAAATTCAATGCAAATTGCCAAATTTCGGATGAGAACAATATGAAAAAGGAAAGTAAGTTCTTTTACAGAAATGAGACATATATATTAGGTTGGCTTAAAAGAGTTCGGTCGTTGCAGCTCTAACAAACGCTGCAGACAAAATTTTATCCAGACTATAGTATCTTTCAAAAGAGCACTTCAATGGGAATTGGATTACAAATTTTATTCGAGTAGAACTTATCTTTCAGAGCAAAAAAATCCGCAGAGTACTGAGAAACCTAAATTTTCTCATAGTGCGTAAATAAGAGGAATTTTGGTTTTTCTGGTAGAAGATTTTCATATTGGCAGATCGCAATTTTCATTCTTATTCACTAGATAGGGAAAACTCCTTTGTATTCAAAGACCGAATGCTGTTCTCTTCATCCATTACATTATGAAAACGAAGCTTAGGAAGTCAGAGAAGTGAGCCTTTGGAAATTTAGTCATGTTGAAGCACAGCTGTCTTTACTGATGATAGAAAATCCTAAGTATTTGATATGTGATAGAGGAAGCTCTAAAATACTTTCCCACAAGAAATCATATAAGAAAACAACAAGAAAATCTTTTATGAAGATTTGCATGCCAAACGAACTTATTTCTTAGCCAACCTAATAGTAGTGCGGCAAACCGTACACCTAAGAAAAAGAGTAAATGTCCTTTGAAATGACCTTCCTGCCAGACATGACTGTAATAATAAATGATAGAAGCTATTAGCTGCCAAACGAGAGACAACCGTAGACGCGGCACTGATAGAGGAGCGTAGCAGAAACGTTTCGAAAGACATAAATTTTGCCACACATTGATATCACTTTTAAACGGTAACGGGATCGTAAACAACTTCTCGACGACGACGACGGCAGAGTCCGTCCGCCTTGCGAGACGAAGCTTTCGAATGAAAATGATCGCAGCAAAACAGATACAGACAGACAAATGATCAATAGAGACTTGCAAAGGGGAGATTTATCAGCACAAAGCAGCAAAGCGCGTTGGCTGTAATTTGGACTTACGGATTTCTACGTGCACGGATCGTTTACAATGTCTTGTAGTCAGAGAACGAAGGTTAATGGCTGCAAACGACCCACTCACCGAGCATACTCGCCAACTTGTCGAACGTTTCTTCTGGGCTGAGGCGGCTCATTCTGGATTCGATCTGAACAAACAATGATCTGCTGTAATGAAAAAAGAACGCGGTTTGTATGCATAGAACTTATACAAATAATGCAATTGAGACGAACGAATATCAAGAGAAAACAGTATGAAACTAATTCTCGAGCAAATGCTTCAAGGAGATTATCTTGAAAGAAATAGGCACAGAACAAATACTGAAGTTGTCTTCAAGGAAGATTTATAACTATAGTCTCATATACCAAATTTTTTATAAGAGGGGAAATAATGACAACGAGGAATTTTGACTAAAGTGACAAAAAATCATCGAGCTATTGAGCTTTACATATATCCTAGCTTTGCCGATTACTTTTACACTTTCCATATCGGGATAACAGCGTAATTTCTGTTCGAACATATGCAGACATCGTATTTGATGGATATCAATGTCCAGCCTATTTGCAAAGAGCAATTGAAAGTCCTAAGGTAACTTTCAAACCAGATGATAAAGAGAAAGAAGGGGGTAGGACGTAGAGTTTCAGATTGTAGGTGGCTTTTGAATGTGCTCTTAATTTGTTACTAGTCCCAAAATCAGCAAAACCATCGCTCAAAACTCCACACGGAGAGAGACAATTTTTTGCGCACAGATTTTTTCCTAATCTACACCTCTAGGAAGTATCTCTTTATTTTAGGCAAACGATATGCCTAGCTTATATAAAAGTCATTTAGCGATTGTAGCGCAAAAAACTCATCTTTTTGAATGCTGAGAGTCCAGACTGATATGACATAAAAATTTCCTCGGATACTCGTTAACCATACTACCTACTATCATTGTTTTGATGAGCTGTGTCATTATAAAAAGAGAAATAAGTTTTACATGTTTTACTCTGTTTCGTCCCTTTCCTTAGGCGGAGTTTTGAGGTCTAGATCCTCTCCGGGACTCACCAGTAAGGACCATTTATTGTTTCCCTGCTCCAGTTTACCTCCACAGTCTCCTAACTTCGGATATTTACTAGAAACACAGATATCCAAACCAAAAACATTGCACTGTTTCTACTTCCAATTTTGATAATGTTCACGCTCAAATCTATGAATGCACTGCTAACAAAAAGCACTTGAAATTCAAAACAGGTTCCAAAGCGATGTAAACATCATCCACTGCTACTGCTGCACTCTTATCGCTGCATCTAAAAACGTACAACGGTTTTTCGCTAATGTTTTCACGATCGCTTTTATCAAACGTCAACAATCAGACCACGCCGGTCCAGCGATATTTTCAGAGATAGAAGGGAATATACCAGGTGAACATGACCATACGCAATGGGATGTAAGCTCTTAGATACCCAAACGTTTTCTATATTGGCTAATGATTGATTAAAGTTATACTATAACACCTAATAGATGAAGAAAGGATATACAGTGGTTGCCCCGTACAATCAACAAAAGAAGACTAGCATCATAATAAGCTTGAGTAACCTGCCCCAACTAATTTCGATAATTTCCAGGGTTGAAAGTATTTATCAAATATACAATGTCCAATGTCCACCGCAAACAATTTCCCTTCCCTTTGAGATTATCATGCTAAAATGGTCTCACACTTCTGAGGGCCATGCTTTACTACCAAAATTGTTGCGGATAACATTTTTGTACACTGAGATTATGACAAAAATTCGGGCCTATAAACATCAGCAGAAGTTCATGGGAATCTCAAATTTGATTTCAAGAACCCAGAGCAGAAAAAAATCCGATCAGAGAACTGGTTACTTATAGAGATGAAGAACAAAGTTGAAGGTGGGAGGGGGGGGGGTGGTCATGAATCCTGAGCAATGCTATAAGCACCCAATTTGTACCGTGACAGTGTTGATTTCTACCCACAATAGCCTTCCCCTCACCCTGCAGTCCATGAAATCAGGATTTCATCGAATTTTCGGACTTACAGCTCACATAAGATTTTCCTCCGATTGAAACAGCAATTAATATTTGGGGGTTTTTCATGGTATTTTCGAATATGTTGATGATAAAACTCCAAATTTTATTTGTACTAAATTTCATTTTCCAATTTTTAATCGTTTTTCATGAATTTCAGTGCAAATTAAGATGCTATTTAGCGACTTTTGTCGTGGTATTTATATACAGGGTGTCCGTAAAGTATGTATACACTATTTGATCGTTAATATCTTTCTTCCCAACAAGTCTTTTGCCTTGCTTCAGGTACCGTTTTGTAGAACTGGCTTCAACTTAGATTTACAGTACGGAGCGAATCACCGATCTCTCTTCATTACTGTAGGATTACGGTAGAAACTTCATAGAGGCTTTTGAGCCATGAAAGGCCATATTTTGCCTCAGAAAGGAAACAGAACAAACTGAATGCTTTTACACTAGGCTAATTAGAGTTGTTGATTCTAACTGTGAAGTTCCCAAATTATTATGATGCTTCTTTGAAGAGTTATGCCGGGTAAGAGGTAGCGGCCATTTTTCCAGTGTTCCTAAAAAGTGCAGTCACACCATTTAGAAAGCTTCGCAATCTTGTGAATAGTCGAGTATTGAACTTAGCGTCCATAAAAACCTTATTGCACAAGTTTTCATATTTTTTTGAAAAATTTTGAGACTGCAGCTTTTCCACACTGACACCACATGTTTCAAGTTTCTACAGTAATCCTACAGTAATGAAGAGAGTTCGGTGATTCGCTCCGTACTGTAAATCTAAGTTGAAGCCAGTTATACAAAACGGTACCTGAAGCAAGGCAAAAGACTTGTTGGGAAGAAAGATATTAACGATCAAATAGTGTATACATACTTTACGGACACCCTGTATATGCTGATGGTTTCGCTCAAAACCACCGGATTTTTCTCTTTTCGATACATGAATATGTTCATAGATTTTGCTACAAAACTGAAGAAACTCTTCAATGCTCGAAACAAATCAGTTGGTAACAATTCGACTGAGATATTACGTTCATTGCTATTTTGCACTAAAGAAATCAAAAATGAAATTTCACAAAATTCTAATTCTGACATTAACTTCGTTCCTCTGACAAAAAATTATTCCTAAGGTTGTAGACCTTGAGCAAAACCACCAGTATATTCGGGAAAACCATGACCTTCTAGATACAACCCAATCGTACGATAGCCGCTACTGAACTCTGGGTCGAGAATTCAATGGCAGCCCGGTTTCATGCATTGCAGGATGAGGGCGACTCTACTTGCAGAGACCAGCTCCGTTTGGATGCAAGTCGGGTTGAGGGAGTTCTGCTAATGGCAAAAACTCTCAAACCGAAAAACATGACAACCAAGAGAATGACATTTTCGCTTCCACTTCATTCCTTCCACTAGGATTGTGATCAATCAATCCGACACGAGTACTCAGAAAACTTTAGCGATTAGCTCACTTCCAAAAAATTTATTACAAAACGAATATAAATATTTCAAGATAATGTTTCTTTCTGTTTCGCTGTCAAGCAAAACCGGTTTCGCAGTGAAGCAAACACAACATTTTGAGATTTGTCACTCAAGAATCTCAGCAATGCTGGGACAAGATGACTGATTCTCTTTGCATGAAAAAGGTTTCTACGCGATGAAAAAGTTATGTATCACTGCCACTCCACTTTCGTTCTAAACCAATACGAGAAGGAGATGTAAAATTGTGAAAACAATAGTGAATCACAGCCGACAAGAAACTATATTCAGATACTTTCCTCTGATTCCGTAGACTGCAAAAGAAACATCTGTATTCATCGTTTAATATTAGAGATGAGAAGTTTTTTCTAGCACAGCAGATTGTGAGACATTGCTAGAATGCAATGAAAAACTGATAATCTCAGTTCTATTGAAGTTAGATGCCACTGAAAGAAGGAGGGACAAGCGAAAGTTTTAACAACAATTTCCAAGTTCACGATGCCAGAAAAAGGCAGATAATGAAGAAAATCGCTTCATAAAAATGAACGAACAAATTCCGTTCGGAGCCCAAGAAAAGCGGTGATGCGTAGTAATCAATGTAAACAAGGTGGGGTTGTTGATTTTCGGCATCTATATGTACGCCAGATCCAAACGGCGATCACAACAGATCAACGATCACCGGCTACTGCTTGCTATCGCTGGTGTTTGAGACGCACAACGTAAGCACTCGCTGATAATGGTTCAATTTGTTCACAAGTACTAGGGTGAAAAGATTTTCTGCATCCACTGCCACGATTCTCACCTTGGGCGTTTGTTTCTGAAAAGAGGCACTCAAATACAAAAAAAAAGAAAATTTCCCAAAAAACGGCGCGCAAAACGCGCACAAAACAAATTTTTGAATTCAAGTACTTGTTTGGTACTTTCTAAAAAATTTTCCTACTTATAGTTAGTTGTGAGCGTTGAGAACTGAAGTAAACTTTGTGCTGTAATTACTGTTTATATCTTTTGACCGTTCTTAACACAACCACTAAGCCGGAGAAAAATATATTAGGTTGCCCCAAAAGTTTTCTCCGTTTTTTTCATCGCTCACTTAAACTTACGAAACCAATCCATCCATCTTAGGTAAATACCACTTGATACAGATTTCTATCCTCTTTCTTATAGCTATATTTGCTCTCTGATCAACCCTGTCCTCGCAATGTTATCGCCATGGCTTTTTAGGCAGCTCAGCAGTAAAGCCAAACCTTTCCTGAATTCTAAAAAATTATATCCTGATGTTTTCAAAGAGCGCTGGCAACTTTATGTAGAGCAAACCTTTGGCTATATTGTGCCCATTTTAGATTACATGGACCACATCCACCAAGTCCGTTATAATTATTTACTTAACAAAAACCGCGATTTTGATTACGTTTACCACGCAAAATTACCGAAAATTCCAAACAGCTACTTATTCATTGCAAGTCAAACTTGATTATGTTGTATATAATGTTTGACAAGAATCATGGTTCATTTCGCAGAAACTTCAAATGCTTTCGTGTATTTGCTGCATTTGAGTGTTTCTACTTTGCCAAAAATCGAGACCTCTGAAGAAATAATTTTTTGAAGCTAAAAACACCTTGTAGTCCGAGAGTCCCTCTATTTGATCCATACTTAACCT